ACTTCTCGGTTGTTCAGTTCACGACCGTAGTTTCTCTTGTGTCCTCACGTTTCGTTTGCGTTCCCTCTTTTGTTTCCGTCTCAAGTATTGAAACGCTCTTGCTCCCCCGAGCGCTGATCCAACAGCTCCCGGCTCAGCCTCACCCCAGTGTTTGTTTCTGTATGTTCCTTGTGTGCTTTTCCTGATCCCACTGCCTTCTTCCGCTTGTGTATAGGCCACGCTCTTGAAGGCGGTGTGTAATTTCCAGATCTACCGCGATGCCGACTACGACCAGGGATTCTTTCCTCGCGTTCTGACCAAAGATGAAGGAGGTGTGGCCTGGGGAGAGCTCGCTTTCACTCTGATAGCGGAAGAGCGTTCAAGGTGTTGAGGAAAGGGGGAAGGATAGTGCAGCAGAGATGGAGCCTCCAGCTTGCTGATCAAGGGCGGCCGCGCTTGCAGTCTCATTAATTTGGCCCTTCGGTCTCCACCTTGGCTACGTTCGGTTGTGCGGCACATGGCGTGTGGCGTGGTCAATGATTGCGGGGGTGGCAGTCAGCGCCTGAGAGTTTAACTTGGCCACAGCTTAGGGTGGATAATGTATCCATCGCCACGGCCTCGCGGTCTAGACTCCCAGGTCGTGACCCCGTGGATGCAGGGCGACTGTCTGCGGACGCCCCGCGCAAAAGCTTCCCCTGGGATAGCCTATGCATGGGATCGCGCCGCGGTGTCTGGACCGTGAGGGCAGGTATGGATGTGGCCGTCGTTCGTGACCGAGGGGGCCGCGCCAGATGCTGGCACCGCTGGCCGGCCAGCGTCGCCGTTACGGGGACAGGGCAAGCGTGCGTGGGGAGGCACCACGAACTCCGAGATCGCAGGCGCGCCGCGCGCCGCTGCCGCGCTGGGGCTCGGGCGTCTCCACCGCATCCGGGGTGCCGTTTTTTTGTTTCCATCCTGGCATGTGCCAACGCGAGCTTTCCACTACTGATTGTACTCGCTTCATGATAGGGCCTTCCCTGGTTTGGGTGCGTTGGTGTGTGCGTGTGCGTGTGTGTGCGTGTGCGTGTGCGTGTGCGTGTGCGTGTGCGTGTGTGTGTGTGTGTGTGTGTTTGTGTGTGTGTGTGTTTGTGTGTGTGTGTGTGCGTGTGCGTGTGCGTGTGCGTGTGCTTGTGTGTGTGTGTTTGTGTGTGTGTGTGTGTGTGCGTGCGTGCGTGCGTGCGTGCGTGCGTGCGTGCGTGTGTGTGTGTGTGTGTGTGTGTGTGTGTGTGTGTGTGTGTGTGTGTGGGGATCGCTTACCTACTCAGCGTGCAGTTGGCATTGCGGGGGGTGCAATGAGGAGGAGGACGAGGAGGAGGACGAGGAGGAGGAGGAGGAGGAACTAGGGGGCAGGAGGAGGGGCAGTGTTAGCCAGGTCGAGCGAGTCACAAATGTGCGCCCTTCGCCGGGGGCGCAGTTCCGAGCGTTGCTGACAAGGAAGCTACAGCACTGGCCGTTGGCGTTTCTTCCCCGCCTTCGCGTCGGTCCTGCTGCGGAGACATTGAGGCGGATTGGAGCTCTGTGCCAGCCGCGGGTATGGGCGGCAGTGTTACGTCTCTGGTGCAATGGGTGGTGCACTGGCTCCCGATTTGGGCACGCCACGCGATGCCGTTTTGGATGTGGCCACGACCAAGACTCGATTCGTCACTTCGTTTCCTGCCGGGTCGTCCGGTCGCCGCTACGGGAACCGCCGGTGGAGCGCGAGCGGGCGCCGGCTCGCTTTCTCCGCATTGGGGGGCCCAGGCTGACCGATGACGAGCTCACCAACTGGGCAGTCGGAGTGTGCGGGCTGCACCGCACTCACAATTTGAGCCGCCATGGAGCCGTCCCCGCCGACGACAGGGGTCTTTCGCGAGTTCTGCAGCGAAGCGCGTCGAGGGCAGTCGCGGGACGAGGGCGTGGACGCGGCCGCCGAGGAGTAGGCGCTCCGCCTCACAGTCCGGGCCCTTGGAAGGCCAAACAAACTGTTTTTCGGCCTTCGAGCCCACTTCTGTGGCCGGCCCCCGAGGGTGGGTGCTGGGGGCTCGGCGGAGGCGTTTTGTATTTGGTCTCGGGGCCTGGCTGGGTTTGATTCCCCGGGTCTTTTTGAGCATTGGAGCGGTTCGAACTTTCTGACGCCGTTTTGGCATCGAACTGCGCTGTGCCCGCCATGCATGGAGTTTTTTCCTGCCCTCCCTCCGAGCTGCTGGCCCGCGCCAGTTCTGGGAGGGCGCCGGTGCCCTCCGTCCTCCTCTTCTCCTCCTTTCCTCTTTTCCTTTGCTGCGCCGCAGCCTCTAGCACACAGATTTGTGAGCTGTAGCTCACTGGGAGCCTCTTTGGCGCATGAATTCAGCGCGGGACAGGGCCCGCTTCGTTGTCCATGATTTCAAACGTTCGTCGGTTCTGCCGTCAAGCCCTCCTCCTCCTCCTCCTCCTCCTCCTCCTCCTCCCTCCTGTCACCCGAGTGCAACGTTCTGAGTGTGTTTTCATTCGTGGTTTCACTGTGTCGCGCCGACTTGGAGCAAATGCCCGGGCAGTTCTTGTCACGGGTCGCGTTTGCCTGTCCCGGCCGCGTGGCCGATGCATCACGTGGTGCCCATTTTGGGTGATACGGGTTTGTGGGAATTCGTATCCTTGGGCAGGCGTGTTCGTCTCTCTCCTCTGCTCCTCCTCGCCTTCCCCCCTCTTCCAGTTATTTTTGTTCGAGCCAGTCTGGGGTGGCTCTGACACCCAGCCTAATACCTGCTGTGCCGCTTTTCGCCAAGGAGTGCACGGGAGTCCATGTGGTGCATCGCGGCCGCCCCCATCATCACCTTCCGTCTTCTTCCAAAATAGTCCGGTGAAAAAAAAGAGTCACAGGGGCCCGCCCATTCATTCCCACCTTCCCTCCCATAACATACGGTCGGGCAGTTGGGGATCGCGTGTCATTCCGCCGGTTCTGACCCACCACGCTTCAACGCGAGGTGCTATCCACTGACCTACTCCGAATGGTCAACGTCCCGAGCCCTTCCCGTCTCAGCTCGCGGAGCAAAGCGGCACGTTATCACCGTTGTTGGCCCCCTCTTGGGAGAATTGGAGAATTCGCCGCGCCGAAACGGGCCCTTCCACTCGCAGGCGACTTTCCTCCCCTAATCCCCGAGTTCCGCCCGAAACGTTTGGCCGCTCAGAGAAGTGGGAGAAGTTGGCCGCGCTCCGCGAGGCGATGAATTGCGACAACTTGACAGCGTCGCGAATCGGGCCAACCAGAACGAAGCAGCGCGGGCGGCGTTCATGTTGGACCTGTTTGCCTCTGACGCAGCGCGGCGACATTGGGGGCGCAATATCGGCGCGGTCTGACGAGGCGCGCCGCCTCTCTTCCGCGAGTCCGTAGTCGCGGCGCTCGCCCTTCGACGCGTCCTTGCCCGCGAGGGTGGTCGACCGCGAGGTGGCGCAGCGCCGCGCGGCCGACTCGCCCAGCGCAGTCGTGGCGGAGCTTTTGTTCATGCTGGCCGGTCGCGCGCTGGCGGCCGCGCGGCGCGCCGGCGTGGCGGTGGCGCTCCGGGCGGGCGCAGCGCGTGATGCATCCGTTCAACGCCGCATTGTCTGTTCCGATAAGGACGCGATTGCTGCCGGGGGGCGACGGCTGCCGCGTGGCGGCTCTGAGCTTCGCAAAGTCGACGTTCGCTTTGCCGGCCGCTTCTGGCGCTGACCCCCCCCCCGTGAGTTTGCGGAGAAGGCCGGCCGGCCAAATCGTGGGGGGCTAAGTTGACGAGAGAGGATCCAGGCTCGAAATTGTGGCCGCAGGTGAAAGCCCTGGGAAGGGTGCGACTGCGGCACTTGCGTCGGCCTTGAAAGTGCCCCCGCGCGCGTCCACGACGAGGGGCGGCCGCTCAGCGCACGCCTTGTCCGAGCCCATTTGCCCCGAGTTCCGCGAGCCTACGCTTCTCGCGCGGGTCGATTTCGCGCGCGCGGCGAGGGGGGCGTCGAGCGCCAGAACCGGGGCGCGCCCGCCAGCCGGGGGGGCCCCAGGGGCCGAATCTTCAAAAGTTGCGCTTCGGTTTGGAAAGCAGTTGGGACCGACCACCCAATCCGGAACAAGTCGCGCAAACAGTTGCGCGACGTTTCGGAAATCGCGCCGGCGAGAACGGCGCCCGACGATTGCCGGGCCCCCGCGGCAACGCCGCGCGCAACGTCGTGCGCGCGTTTCCTGACGAGCAGAGACATGGCGGGCCAGCTGCCCTTCGGGCCCGTCGTTGGACCCAGCTGGGAAATTACACATGTTTGCACTATGAGCAAACAGGCGCGCTTGCGTCTGGCACTCGATTGGGCCCCCTGGGCTCTTCTGGTGCTCGCGCGCGACGCATCCGTGCATCTCGCGCGCCCGGTGGCCTCCGGCGCATCGGCGGAAACGCCCGCGGGCGCGCTGGCCAACTAGAGGGGGCATTTGAGTCGCGGGATGGGGGGGCGGGTGGACGCGGAGGGGCAGGGCCGGGAGGGGGGGGGGGCGATGAGAAGGGCGATGCATGCTCGCAACCGCGCGCTCGCAGATGCATGCAGACAATGGCATCCGTGCCCGTTTGGGCTCTGACATATGCCCCGCTCCGGCCGCGAACGCGTTCGCGCGTGGCAGACCCGCGGTTGCCTTGCGCGGTGGCTCCGCGGGGCGCAGCCCACGCCGGACACGTCGCCGCAGATGATGGCAGTTCGCGCCGCAGCGCCGACGTCGGCGCCGCCGTTGATGTCGACGGGCCTCGCGACGCCCAAGACAATCATCGCCTGTTTTGGACCCAGGCTCCGCGGGGGCTGATTGACAGACTTTGGCTTCGGAGCTCCCTTGTTGGCGAAAGCTCATCAGTGGCATCGCGTCCTGCAGCTTGCGCGGCGCCCCCCCTTCGCCGACCATTCGACTCTGTCATTCGTTCTCCGGGGTCGGGCCAGATTGCGCTCGACGCGGGCGCGGGCGCGACGGGCAGCTTACGCCGCGACACCCTCGCCCGAAAGACCGCTGCATCAGATTTTCTGGGTGCATGCAGCGGCGCTCGGACATTTTCACCGGTGCCTTTTGCGACCGGCATGTTGCGCGGATGCTCGGCGAAAACATTCGGATCGATGCCGCGGAGTCGTTGTTGTTCGTTGTGTTCTCGGGGTGCGACGCGACTGAGATGGAAGTCCGCGAGCAGCAGGGCCGCCTGGACACGGCTGGGAAACTTTGATCTGATCGTGGGTGAGCAGCGCGTCGGCGAACTTGTGAAAGTTGAGTATGCGGTCGCTGCGCCCGTGGACTCGGCCATGGCGCAGGTGGCCGGTGGGAGAGAACTGATGGCGCTCATTAACTCGTTTCGGAGCTGGGTTGGGCGTTTCCCATCGGAGCCGGCAAGGGGGGGGGGGGGGAGTTTCGTCTCATCTGGTTGTTCGGCCCCGCGCTGGCACTCGTTCGCGCCGTCGACCGCGGCGCTGCAGTCTGTTTCAGGCGAGCTGCGGCAGAGACAGCTGCCGCGCCCATGGGTGCCGCGCACTGCGTCGCCAAGCTCAGAATTGCCGCGACAGACACTGCGTCGCCATGCTACATGACGGAGAGGGGCATCATGACAGATCGAGGAGATGATTGGTTGAAAATGTACATGCGTTGAAATTGTCGCAAGACTTCCACGGGGCGCGCGAAGACGCGCTGCCACTTAGGCTGCGACATCGCGGAGACAATCCACTCATCATTGTCTGTTTCTCCGGCAGCTGCGACGGCGAAGTTCAGGCGGGCACCCACTGCCGCGGCGCGCAAGCGTCTGCATACCAGGAGGGGCCACCCGTCAACCATGCGCGAAGAGCACCAGTCGCTCACGGTGAACCATTCCCTCGGCTGGGGAATTTCGTTTTGCGCGAGCGCGCAGATTGCGAAGAGCGCGCCGAAAGGGCCGCGCCGCAACCATTCCGCATGCGTCGCGCGCATCGATGGAGAGGGGCACATAGATGCCGAGCCTCGCCGCCGCCTCGTTAATTTCGCAAGCTTGTGGAGGTCGTCGAGGTCATGTCCGAGGCGCCGCTGGACTGGCGCGGACTTTTCGATCAACGAGATTGGCTCATGCGCGCGCATTCGCGGCCCGGTGCTACCAGCATGCAAGTTTTCACAAGCGGCTACAGCTCCAACGACGCCCCCAGCCGTCGCTGCGCGGGCGGCGCGGCTGACCGGCAGCAGCAGCCGCTGGGCGGGCGCGCGGCCACATGGGCCCCGTTTCCTTACCCCACTAGACAGCTGGCAGCGCCCGCGCGCCATTCTTGGCCGCGGCGCGACGCGATCAGGCTTCCAGGATAGAATGTGCGCTTGCTCTCATTGGGCCCTTGTTGAGGTCGCCCTCGTCCCCCGATTTCATGCCCCGGCGCATCCGAGGCGCCCCGCGCGACGGGCGGCCGGCGAAGCGGCCGGCTGGGCATCCGACGAGGCAGTCAACATAGCCGCCAGCAGGGCGGCCAACGAGGCGGCCAACAGGGCAGCCAACGCGGGGGCCAACAATTCGTCCGACGAGGGAGCCCACAGGGCCGCTAACACGGTAGCCAACGACGGAACCAACGAGGCCGCCAACAACGTTCCCAGCGAGGCAACCAACGGGGCAGCTAACGAGGCAGCCACTCGGACAATCCAGAAAGGGCCCTGTGCGCGCGTGGGCCCCTTTTGTGAAATGTCGACACGCGGCGGCCGAGGGTCGCCGCCAGGCGGGCGGGGGGGCCGCCGCGCGAGAGCGCGCCCGCCCCGGCCCCCCCGGCCCCCCCCCGCCGAGCGCCCCTTCCGACGCGCGGGGGAAGGGGGGGGGGGGGCGGGGCGCGCCCAAAAGCGCGGAGCGGGACGTTCGAGGGGGCCGCTTCGAAAATACAAATTGGGGAAGTCTTTGGGCAATCGTATTGTCGAGCGCGTCATTCAAAAGTGCGATCGGGCAATTGCGCGTTTCAGCGGATGGGGGGGGGCGCTCAAAAGTGCAACCTGGGACCGCTGGCCAGGGTCGCCGGGCGCGGGCGTCGCCGCGCGGCCGCGCCGGCGAGCCCAGTTGCTAATTGCGCAAAGGTGCATCCAAATATTTGCCCATGGGACCCTTTCGTCCGCGGGGGCCCGATGCCTTTTGAGGCCTCCTCTGATTTTCTATTTCGGGCAGGTTCGAGGCTATCGCGCTCCTGCTATTGAGGTGTGGCTGGGGGCGGGCGTTTCGCTGCCGCGCCGTCGCCAGCGGGCGCGCCCCGGGGGGGTGCGAGCGCCGCCCGCCGGCAGCTCAGGTGGTCATTGCGGCGTCTTTGCCACAAGTGAGAACGTCTCCCCCCTCCTCTTCCGCCCTCGCCCTCGGCCTCCTTCGCGGTCCTTTCCCGCGGTCCGCGGCCCGGGCCTCTCGGCTCGATCGGGCCCGCGGGCGCTGGGGCCGTCGGCCCCGAGTCGGCCCTTGCGGGCCGACTCCTGTCTCCCGTTTGAGCGAGCTGCAGCGCCCGAAACTTGGGCGCTCGGCGCTGCGAGGGCGGCGCAGGGGCGAGGGTGGCGCAGGGGCTCGCTGAAGCAATTTCGAGCTCGAGCGGGCCCGCTCACGCGAAGGCCCGCCCATCCTCCGCCTTTTCAAACATTCCTGGCGCGTGCCTGCTCTGCCACCGGCGCGGGGGGGCAGCCGCTCCGCTGCCGCGCTGTCGCCGGCGAGCGCGCGCCGGGAAGGTTCGGGCGCCTCCCGCGGGCGGCCCAAGCGGTCGCTGTGGCGCTTTGTGCCACAAGTGACGACGTCTATACCTCCCCCCCTCCTTCCTCGTCTTCGGCTTCCTTCCGGGCCCCTTTTTCTGGGGTCCGCGGCCCGCGCCTGGAAGCTCCCGATCGGGCCCGCGGAGATGCCGGGGCCGTCTCCCGAGTCGGCCCCTGCGCGCCGATGCTGCTTGTTCTCTTCTCAGCGAGCTGCAGTGCCCGAAGCCTGCCGAGCTCCCAGGCCAGCTCGGACGCCCGCGTTTCTGGAGCTGCCAGCTCGCGAAGCAAGCGGGCGCGCGCCACTGGCGGCGCGCCCGCTTCGTGGAGCGCCGCAGCATGGCCTGCCATGACGACGAGGACACCGGGTGGATCTGGCAGAGGGAGCAGAGCGTGGCGACTCTCCCCTAGTGTGGCTATGGCGACTGGCGCACCCCGTGCGGGCACTTCGTCGCGCTGGCCGAGCTCTTCTGCTCGGCGTTGCCGCGGCCTCTTGCTGGACTTGTGCTGGCTGCGCCTCCACTTGCAGATCCTCGCGTTCAGGGCAGTGCACGGCGCTTCCGCGAACGGCTGCGGCAGGACCACCAAGAACGCGCGCAAGCTCAGGAACCGCGGCACTGGCTCCTGGGCCTTGCCGCCCCGTAGGTGGTGACTGGTCTGGCTGTCGGACGTGCTTCTGGCGGTCTGTCGCCCCGTGAAATCCTTTGCGCTGAGACGCGCTTTTGGCGGCCTGACGGTCAGCCATCTGACAGCCTCCGTCAGCCGTGGTCGTTCCCGCCGTCATCATCGCCATTGCGCCGTCCTGGTTGTCATCGTCTTCGCGTCCGTCATCCACGCGCGTCTCCATTACCGCCTCATCGATCATTTCAGACTCATCATCGCCATCAGCATGATGTATTGAACTCACGATCGCCTTCCGATATCTTTCACATTGCCACGAACGCCGCAATCGCCATCATCGTTTTCACCATCGAGCGCAACGCTATCATATTGCCATCGCCGCCGTCGACACATCGCACTTTTCGGCAGTGCTATCGACGTCGCAATTTCCAGCGTCGTGTTCCGCGCTGGCCATCGTTGCCGCCGTCGTCGTTCTTGTTATCCACGCGCGCCGTCATCGATGTCGACGTCGCCGCCATGGCCGCAGTTGCCATCGGCACTACTGTCGCCCTCGTCGTCCGGAACCTCGTCACTGTCGTCGTGATCGTGCACGCGATTGCCATCATCATGTGAACAGTGGGTCTTTAAAATGACGTTCGACCCCTTGGTGGATCAGTCAACGGAGGAGGAGGAAGAGGAGGAGGAGGAGGAAAAGGGAGGAGGAGGAGGACAAACAGTTGGAGGAAGAGGGGGAGGAGAAAGCGGGGGAGGAGGAGGAGCAGGCGGAAGAGAAGGAGAACGAGGAGGAGGAAAACGAAAACGAAGACGAGGAGGAAAAGGAGAAACATGAGGAGGAGGAGGAGGAGGAGAGGGAGGAGGAGAGGGAGGAGGAGGAGAAGGAGGAGGAGGAGGAGGAGGAGGAGGAGGAGGGGGAGGAGGAAGAGGATGAAGAGGATGAAAGGGAGAACGAGGACGGGGACGAGCACGAGGTGGATGACGGAGGACGTGAAGGACCGAGAACGGAGGATGGGTGCCGAGAGTGAGGAGGGGGGACGAGGAGGGGGAGGAGGAGCATTGTTATACGCGTTGGTCCGAGGAGGAGGGGGGGAAATGAGGATAATGTCGGTGGAGGAGGACGGTGGAAGAGGAGGAGGAGGAGGAGGAGGATGAGAAGGACGAGGAAAGTGATTGGGATGTTGACGGTGATGGGGATGATGGTGACGATGATACCGATAATTGTGGTGATAATGTTTCGGATGATGACGATACTGATCATGATAATCGGAGGTGAGGGGGGTGAGATCGAAGAGGAACGGAGAGCTCCCCTACCGGGAAATCGATTTCGGTTTCGTGTTCGTGCGTGCCGTGTGTGCGGGCGAGGCGAAGCTGCGTGAGCGGGCGAGAAGAAAGTCTCCTGTAGCTGAGGCGCGGCTGGACCAAATGATTCCTTCCCGGGGGCCGGTGGCCCGCGGTGTCCCGCCGGTGTCCCGCCTCCGACTGAGGCGCGGCCAGACCAAATGATTCCTTTCCGGGGGCCGGTTGCCCGCGGTGTCCCGCCGGTGTCCCGCCGGTGTCCCGACGGTGTCCCGATGATGATGATGATGATGATGATGATGATGATGATGATGATGATGATGCTGATGCTGATGCTGATGCTGATGCTGATGCTGATGCTGATGCTGATGCTGATGCTGATGATGATGATGATGATGATGATGATGATGATCATGATGATGATGATGATGATGTTGATCATGATGTTGATGATGTCGATGATATTGATGATGATGATGGTGATGGTGGTGATGATGATGGTGCCCCGATGATGATGTCGATGGTGTTGACGATGTTGATGATGATGATGGTGATGATCTTGATGGTGGTGATGATGCTGGTTTCCCGATGATGATGATGATGATGATGTTGCTGATGATGGTGTCCCGATGATGATGATGTTGATGATCCTGATGATGGTGATGATGATGCTGAGATGATGATGAGATGATGATCAAGATGATGATGCTGATGATGGTGTCCCGATAATGATGATGACGATGATGATGATGATGATGATGATGATGATGATGAGGTTGATGATGGTGCTGTTGATGATGAGGGTGATGATGATGATGATGGTGTCCTGGTGATGATGATGATGTTGATGATGATGACGATGATGGTGTCCCGATGATGATGATGCTGATGATGATGAGGAGGATGAGGTGATGATGATGGTTTTGATGATGGTGGCCCGATGATGGTGATGATGATGATGCTGATGTTGGTGATGATGGTGTCCCGATGATGATGATGGTGATGATGATGATGGTGAGATGAATGATGGTGCCCCGATGATTATGATGATGATGCTGATGTTGCTTATGATGATGTTGTCCCGAGGATGATGTTGATGATGTTGTTCATGACGACGATGATGAGATGATGATGATGATGGTGTTCCGATGATGATAATACTGATCATGGCGTCCCGATGATGATAATGATGATGATGGTGATGAGGTGATGATGATGATGGTTTCCCGTTGATGATGATGATGATGTTGATGACGATAATGTTGATGATGACGTGGATTTTAAGATCGATGTGGACTTTCGATTGTGAGATCTATAGTGAGACCGAATGTGAGATTGATTGTGAGATCGATAGTGAGATCGATAGTCAAATCCATTTTGTGATCGATCGAATGAAATAGATCGAGTGAGATCGATTGTAAGATCGATCGAGTGAGACCGATCGAGCGAGCTCGATAGTGAGATCGATAGCGAGATCGATAGTAAGACCGATCAAGTGAGACGTTGGTTCCTCCCCCCCCCGAACCTCCTCCTCACCCGAAGGGTTGTCGTATAGGTACCTATACTACCACCCTTCGGGTGATAAGGAGGTTGGTGGGGGGGGAGGGAGCAAGGAGTGGGAACCAACATCTGACTCAATCGATCCGATCTCACTCAAGGGGACACCACGGGACACCACGGGACATTGTCGATCTCACTATTACCACGGGCCACCACGGGACTCCGCGGGACATCTCTCGATCTCACTATCGATCTCACTATCGATCTCATTCAACGGGACACCATAGGACACCACGGGACACCTCGGGACACCACATCGATCTCACTATCGATCTCACTCAACGGGACACCACGGAACACCGGCAGGACACCTGCGGGACACCAGCGGGACACCGGCGGAACACCGCGGGCCACCGGCCGCCGGAGGAGAAACATTTGGTCCGGCCGCGGCCCAGCCACAGGAGGATTTCGGGACACCAGCGGGACACCGGCAGGACACCGCGGGCCACCGGCCGCCAGAGGAGAAACATTTGGTCCGGCCGCGGCCCAGTCACAGGAGGATTGCCTCTCGCCCGCCCACGCAGCTTCGCCTCGCCCGCACGCACGCACGTCACGCACGGCACGAACCCGAAACCCGAAACCGAACCGAAACGGTCTCCGTTTCACGTCGGACTCACCCCCCAACCTCCGAGTAGCGATGATGACCATGTCGATGATGATGATGATGATGATGATGATGATGATGATGATGATGATGATGATGATGGTGATGGTGATGGTGATGGTGATGATGATGGTGCTGTTGGTGCTGATGGTGATGATTGTGATGCTGATTGTATTGCTGAAGTAGATGCTGCTGATGATGATGATGATGATGATGATGATGATGATGATCATGGTGATGCATCTGCTGCTGAGAAAGCTGGTTATGATTGTTTTGATGCCGATGCTGATGATTATGGTGATGGTGATGGTGATGGGGATGATGATGCTACTGATGATGGTGATGATGATGATGGTGGTGATGATGATGATGATGATCAAGATGATGATGATGATGCTGATGATGATTATGATGATGACGATGGTGATGGTGATGGTGATGGTGATGGTGATGGTGATGGTGATGGTTGTGATGGTGATGGTGATGGTGGTGGTGATGATAATGATGCCGACCATGGTGGTGATGACGATGATGGTGATGATGGGCAGGGTGAGGGGGAGAGGAGGATAACGACAAGGAGGAGGAGGAGGAGGAGGAGGAGGAGAAGGAAGAGGAGGAGGAGGAGGAGGAGGAGGAGGAGGAGGAGGAGGACGAGGTGCAGGAGGAGGAGGAGGAGGTGCAGGAAGAGGAGGAGGTGCAGGAGGAGGAGGAGGAGGGGCGACGGAGGAACTGGACCCCCTGTGCGCGGCCTGGCCAGTAGCCCTGGCGACCCGCAGGCCCGATGCGCGGGTCTGTGACGCGGCGAAGCTGGAGGACCCCGCGCGCGCGCCTGCCCGGTGGCCGCCGCCGGGCGTGCCGAAGCCACCACCGCCCGCGGGGCTCGTGACCAGCTGGGCCGCGGCGGCCCGTGCCGAGGCCGCCGCGCCCTGGCCTTCCATCCGGCAGCAGAGCGTTCCCGAACGCCCTCAGAACGTCTCAGAACGCTCCAAGAAGGCCGCAGCGCCATAGGCATCCTCAGAGGTTGTCGATTTATCCACGACGGATTTAATCCTCGTCCTGGCTTCGTCGTGCTCGGCCCTCCATCGACTACAAGCACGAGTGAATCTTCGCCGGAGTGACTTTTGGTGCCGGCCGATTGGGGTCCTCCGACCGCTCAGCGCTATGCAATATCATCGGCGTGTGCGCTTGGGTTCTGCCCCAACCAGCGCCTCCCAAAAATTGCACCTAGGGTCACTCTTGCGTGCAGCCAGCTCGAGGGTGACGGATCTTTTTCAGACGGTCAGTCCCGTGTATGTATTTACATATTACGAACAGCAGTTCACCCTTCATGTATGTATGTACGCATGCATGCATGAATACACGTACGTATATATGCATGCATGCATACATGCATGTATGCATGCATGCATGTATGTATGTATGTATGTATGTATGTGTGTATGTAAATCTGGATGTGTATGTGTATATGTCTGTATGTGTGTACGTATACATTCTAGTGTATACATGCTGTTTTGTGTATTGTATTGCTTTGTATTGGACTTGATTGGATTGTATCGTATCGTGTTGTATCGTATTGTATCGTATTGCCGTGTAGTGTATGTATGTATGTATGTATGTATGTATGTATGTATGTATGTATGTATATGTGTATGTATGTATGTGTGTATGTATGGTTGTATGTATGGTTGCATGTATGGTTGTATGTATGTATGTGTGTATGTATGCATGCATGTATGTATGTATGTATGTATGTATGTATGTATGTATGTATGTATGTATGTATGTATGTATGTATGTATGTATGTAATGTGTGTATTTATGAAAGAGCGCGTACTGTGGGCGCTTGGAGGGGGGTGGTCTGGACCGGAACCCTCCCGTCCCCCCCCCCCCAGGCGGCGGCGGCCTCCTCCCCTTCCCGGGCCGGCGCCAGCGCCGGCGGCGGCTGTCGGCGGCGGCGGGGAACGCTGACGAGAACGACGACGATTCAAGGGGGGGAGGGGGGGTTCAGCGCCGCCGCCAGCGCCAGCTGGCGGCGGCGGCGCTGGTGCCAGCGACGACGACGACGACGAAGACGGCGGCGGCGACGACGACGACAAAGATGGAGGCGACGACGATGACGACGACGACGGCGACGACGACGCCGACGACGAACGCGACGACGAGCACGACGACGACTACGACGACGACGACGGCGGCGGCGTCGACGCTGTCATCGACGACGACGACAATGAATCTGACGACAAGGGCGACGAGGAATATGACGACGGCGACGACGAACGACGACAATGACGACGACGACGGCGACGACGACGACGGCGACGACGGCGACGACGAATATGACGAATATGACGACGGCGACGACGACGACGGCGACGACGGCGACGACGGCAACGACGGCGACTGCGACGACGCTGACGAAGACGACGATGACGACGGCGACGGCGACCACGGCGAATTCGAGCATGACGACGACTACGACGACGACAAGGACTACGTTGAGGACGACGACGACGACGACGGCGACGACGGCGACAACGAGGACGACCACGACGGTGACCACAACGACTTCGAGCACGACGAGGACCACGACGACGGCGACGACGACGACGACAGCGACGGAGACGGCGACGATGCATAAGAATTACATCTGAAGTCCGGGACCATCAATATTCCGACATTCAGGGTCGAGGATAGGATTGCACGGGGCCTTGTCTTTTTTCGTCATGGTCATCGTCGTGGTCGGCCGCGTTCCCGCCGTCCGCGCTTCCAGCCGCCGCCGCCGCCGTCGTCGCCGGCGCGCCGGTGCCGGCGCGGGGACTGGGGGGGGGACGTTCGGGTTCGGGGGGCGGTGGGTGGGAAGGGAGTCCCCCTGGTTCTGTTCGACGGCGCCGAATTTTCGAGAGGGGGGGCCCCCCCCCGTTTTAAACGCGCTGCCGAGTGTTCCCAAGGCAAGCGCCCATGAAGTGCGGTTCTTGTGTGTATGTATGTACGCATGTCTGTATGTATTTATGTGTGTATGTATGCATTCATGTTTGTATTTTTGCATGTATGTTTGTCGGTCTGTCTGTATGTATAGATGTAACTATGTTTATGTTGTGTGTACGTGTATATGTTTACGTATGTAAGCATGTGTGTACGTATGTATGTATGTATGCATGCATTCATGGATGTATGTATGTATGTATGTATGTATGCATGTATGAATGTATGCATGTATGAATGCGTATGTATATGCGTCGGTTTGTGCACGGGTGTATACATGTATGCATGCATGCATGCATGCATGCATGTGTGCGTGTATGCTTGTAGATATGTATGTGCCTATGTCTGTCTGAATATATACACTCATTTCGAATACGCCTACGGCGAGTCACCGCGACCACCGTCTTTTAAGATGCGCCTAAGTGGGCAAACGGTTGGGTAAAGTGTGGCCGCGCTATTGGACCATGCGTTCTTCCAGCTGTTGTGGAAGCCCTTTCGGCGAACACGTGGGGAGGGTCAGGAAACCTCTTACGAGCTTTTTGGGTCATTCTTGGTGCCTCTTGGGGGCCTCATGGGGGCCTTCGGGGCTTCTTTGGGGCCTCTTTGGCCGTCTTAAACGGTCCTGGCCCGTTTGATGCCGTTGGGTGCCGCCTTGGGAGCCTCTCTGGGTCGTCTTGGGGCCATCATGGGCGCTCCAGGGTCGCCTTGAAGGCCATCTTGGGTAGGCTTCTTGGGTCGTCTGAGAGCGCTTTGGGGGCCTTCTTGGGAGCCTCGGGGGGCGTCCTGTGGCCGCCGTCTTGGGCTGTCGGAAGGCCGTTTTGAAGCAAATGCGAAAATCTTTCAACCACCCAGGGAACTCAATGATTTGGGCTTCTTCGGGCCTTCTTGGGAGACCTCTTAGAGGCCTAGTGGGCCGTCTTGGGGTCTCCTGGGCGCTTCTTTGGGCCGTCGTGGACTCTCTCGGGCCATTTTGGTGGTCTTGGAGGCATCTTGGGACCGTCTTGGAGGTTACCTTGGAGCTGTCTTGGGCTCTCATGGTGCCATCTTGGCCGTCTTGGATGCATCTTAGGTGCATCTTGGCCGTCTTGGAGCCGATGGGACCAACATATTCTGACATTTGGAAGATTTCTGGGTGGCCGGCGGGCTGGGCCGAGACCCCACCTAGAGTTTTAAAAGAACGAACAAAACACCTGCCAGATGTTTGGCACGCCGTGCACCCCTGTGGCAGGACCGCAGGTGGTGGCAGCTCGAAGACGCCTGCGGCGAATCACCGCCGCCCCGTGCCTTTTTGGATGCGCCTATGTGGCCGAAAGTTGGGTCAGAGTTGAAACAATTCGGGGGACACGTGAGGAAAATGATAATGAGGAGAAGAAGGAAAAGGGAGTAGCAGAAGGAGGAAGAGGAGGATAAGGAGGTGGGGGAGGAGGAGGAGGAGGAGGAGGAGGAGGAGGAGGACCATCACCTGGCTAGGGCGAGGCTAGGGGTTGGCCGACCCGACCCTAACCCGAAACCTCGTGGCACTTGGAAGTCCCTGGGCCTCTTGGGGGCCTTTGGGGGCTTGTTGGGGGCGTCTGTGGCCGTCATGTGGCGTTCCTGACTCGTCTACGGTTGTCATGGGGCTTTTCGGGGGCCTCTCTGAACCGTCTTGGGGTTCTCTTGGAGGGCTCCAGGGCCGTCCTGGAGGCCACTTTTGGCGTTTTGGTGGCCTCTTGGGCCGTCCTGGGGCCCTCCTGGGGCCGTTTTGGAGGCCTCTTGGGCCCTCCTGAGGCCATCTTGGAGGCCTCTTTGGGTAATCTTGGTGCGATCTTGGGGGGCTCTTGGGCCGTCTCGGGCCGTCGGAAGGTCGAGAAGAAGCAAGCGCCATAATCCTTCAAGAGCGGTACGAATCTCATTGTTTTTGGGGACAACGCGATGCCCTTTGTGGGCATCGTCTTCGAAGAGCCGTGAAGAGCGGATCCGCGGAAAGACACTCGGGAAGTACAAGAGAATGATGATTGAGGTAAGCAGCATGGCTCCTGAGAAAGTTCGGGTCGACTACCGGCGAGGAGTACTTCTCGCAGGTGGCATTTGAGTCGGCGAATGGAAGGGGGAGGGGGAGGACGGCGATGTAGAGCTGTACGAAGGGAAGTTTGCCGAAGCCGGTATCGGGACGGACGCGAAGACGCTGAAGGATGCCGTCGCGGTGGCGATGAAGCTTTAGAACGCAACATTCCTTCCAGGGAGAGTGAGGAGTACCCTGAGTGAGGAGTACCCGGATGAATTTTGATGATCGTGTTGAGCGTTGCTTGGAAGAGTTGGATAATCAACACTGGGACGAGGCCACCGGTTTTTAATAGCAGGGGATTTCAATGCAGAGATTGGCCCTCGTTCTAAACACGAGGATTCTCGTCTCATGGGCGATAATCCGATGCCAATCCGGAACGAAAGGGGGGATCTGCTTTCACAGTGGAGTTTGATGCACGACATGGTTATTGCAAACTCGTTTTTCGCAACGGCCTCCGAAGAGGCGTGGACCTTCCGGAACGCAGATCGCCGGTCTCAACTCGATTACATACTAGTTGACATCAGTTTGAAAAAATAGCAAAAAATCATTCGGCAGTGTATTGTGGACGGGAGCGTCGATGTTGGCTCTGATCATAGACCAGTACGCCTTGATCTGGGCATCGTCGTGGATCGGCGGCCCAAACAGAAGAAACGGAGGTGTGACAAGTGGGTGCCTGGACAATCGTACACCCAAGAGCTCGAGTCTATGCTCCGGGAGGCTCGGTGGGGCGCGCTCTCAGCAGCAGAGAAAATGGACGAGATTTACCGGTACATGAAAGAAGCGGCGGGCCGAGACAAGACAAGGTCGTGTTCGAATACGAAAGACCCGGAGACATTTGCATCGACCTTGGATATCAAAATCCGCACGCTCATCCACCTGCGGAGGCAGCTTCCTGCATGTGGACGCCAGTGGAGAAGAAACGATTGCGCGTGGAGTGGGGAAAAGCCATCCAGAAGCTGATTCGTTACAGGCTCAGCCAACAGCGCGTTGACGACATCGCAGAAATCCTCGGTGAATTCCGTGGTCTACAGCGTCTGGCCGCCATCACGGGGACGAGCAAGAAGACGCACATCAAGGAGGTGAGAAACAAGAGCGGGGATCTGGAGCACGAAGCATCTATAGCGGAAGTCTTCGCGCAGTTCTACGAGGATTTGTATTCTGTTTCAAGGCAAGGCAATAGGGCATTCTCCTACGAGATGTGCGGCGGAGACTGGGTGCCCGATTTCACGGAAGATGAGCTGAGAGACGCAATCCAGGAGATGCAGAACGGCAGGTCCTGCCACGACAAGGGGATCGCAGCTGAGATGGTCAAGGTGGATTGCCCCTTCCTGCGCGAGCTAATCCTGGGCACCTTCAACGCAATATTGAATACGGGCCAACGTCTGCCCTCTGACTGGATGGAGAGCCGCATCACAGCGCTGTTCAAATTACCCAGGGACGTACCCAACCAATTTGCACCAGAATGCATCATCACGAAGCTGCTAAAAAACGACTCAACATCCGCTGGGCCTCCCAGGAGCCCACGAAAGTGCCGACAGTTGCGCAGTTGGCAGTTCCCCCCGCAGGGAGCCGCGAGGTCTCGACGCGATCCGCGTGTCACCCCACTCCGCTGGGCCTCCCAGGAGCCCACGAAAGTGCCGACAATTGCGCAGTTGGCAGCTCCCCCCCAGCAGGGAGGCGCAAGGTCTCGACGCGATCCGCGTGTCACCCCACTCCGCTGGGCCTCCCATGAGCCCACGAAAGTGCCGACAGTTGCGCAGTTGGCAGCTCCCCCCGCAGGGAGCCGCGAGGTCCCGACGCGATCCGCGTGTCACCCCACTCCACTGGGCCTCCCAGGAGCCCACGAAAGTGCCGACAGTTGCGCAGTTGGCAGCTCCCCCCGCAGGGGGCCGCGAGGTCCCGACGCGATCCGCGTGTCACCCCGCTCCGCCGGGCCTCCCAGAAGCCCACGAAAGTGCCGACAGTTGCGCAGTTGGCAGCTCCCCCCGCAGGGGGCCGCGAGGTCCCGACGCGATCCGCGTGTCACCCCACTCCGCTGGGCCTCCCAGGAGCCCACGAAAGTGCCGACAATTGCACAGTTGGCAGCTCCGCCCGCAAGGAGCCGCGAGGTCTCGACGCGATCCGCGTGTCACCCCACTCCGCCGGGCCTCCCAGGAGCCCACGAAAGTGCCGACAGCTGCGCAGTTGGCAGCTCCCCCCGCAGGGGGCCGCGAGGTCTCGACGCGATCCGCGTGTCACCCCACTCCGCCGGGCCTCCCAGGAGCCCGCGAAAGTGCCGACAGTTGAAGCTGGCAGCTCCCCCAGCAGGGGGCCGCGAGGTCTCGACGCGATCCGCGTGTCCCCCCATTCCGCTGGGCCTCCCAGGAGCCCACGAAAGTGCCGACAGTTGCGCAGTTGGCAGCTCCCCCCCCCAGGGAGCCGCGAGGTCCCGACGCGATCCGCGTGTCCCCCCACTCCGCCGGGCCTCCCAGGAGCCCACGAAAGTGCCGACAGTTGCGCAAGATCGCAGGATGCGACAGATGCGCAGATCGCAGCCCCCCAGAGGGCGCCGCGAGGAGGAGGTAGGAGGCAGGTGGGCGGGGGGACGGGGCGACCAGAGCGCTCTATTCAAAACGAGTACCCAACCAAGGGAGGGTTGGGAAAAAGGAGACGCCTCTTTGCCACCGAACTACAGACCGGTCGCCATCCTAGCCATCTTGTACAAACTCTTCAGCAAGCTCTTGTGCGGCAGGCTCCGCGGCGCCATTTCAGAAGGCCAATCGGTCGACCAGGCGGCATATCGCAATGGATTCAGCACAGTAGATCATCAGCTGACCGTCACCTTACTTGCAGAGGCCAGCGACGCGTTCAATGCTGAACTGTGGATGGGGCTTGTAGACTTTGAAAAGGCTTTCGACACCGTCGAGCACGATACTTTGTGGAAGGCGCTGCGAGAACAGCACGTGCCGGACGGGTACATCTATCTGTTGAAGAGGTGATGCGCAAAGCAAGGGGCCAGAGCTTCAGCATGAGAAAAGAGCCGCTTGTTCGACATTGCGCGGGGGGTCAAGCAGGGAGACCCCATTAGTTCTTTTCTTTGCATTGCGGTAATGGAGGCAATATTCAGAACCTTGAAGCGCAGATGGGCGAGTTTGAACACAAGAAGGTGTGGTCCGTATTATGGCATTGTGATTGATGACCCGTCCGAGCCCCTTACTTCCTTTCGCTTCGCCGACGACGTCCTGTTAGCGTGCACGTGCAAGAGAGATGTTTCGCGAATGATCGTTGATGCCGAAACAGAGGCAAGAAAGTATGGCCTGAAGCTGCGCATGGGGAAGACGGTTGTGCTCACGAATGCTGAAGAGCGACCGCTGCACGTCCAGCGCGGGGGACGCGATGTTCGAGCATTACAACGCGGGGAAGCAGAGAAATATTTGGGAAGGAAACTGACGTTCGATGCATGCCACGAGACGGAGCTGACTAACATAATCTCTGCTGGGTGGGCTTCTTTCACAAAGTTGAAGTCAGTGCTCTGCGACCGCCGGCTTCCTCTGGCAGACCGCGCGCAGCTTTTCTGCGCCTGCGTCGCGCCCGCGGTGGCGGTGCTCTACGCAGCGGGAACGTGGACGTTGAAGAAGGACCAGGAGAGAAAGCTTCAGTCAGCACAGAGGAGAATGCTGCGGAGCATGGTGGGCACCCACCGGCGACTGGACGAGGGCTGGGTAGAGTGCATCCGGCGTGCCACTCACGCATGCCTGGGCTTAGCTGAAAAACACCACGTTGAAGAGTGGACTGCGCTCTCACATGAGCACAAGCGGGAGCTTGCCGCCAGGGGTGCTCTGCGCGAAGACACCCGATGGAACGCGCGGCCCCTCGACTGGATCCCGCGGCATCGCTTCGTGTCCCGCCGCTCGCAAGCCGGGCAGAAGAAGCGCTGGGCTGAAATCTGAGGCCGCCATTGCGCATCATGTTGCAGAGTTATGGTATTTCTTCCTCTTGTGCGCCGCTGGCGATTGATTCTCATGCATAGCCACGCGTGCCCTTGTCTTTTCACTGTTGTCTCACCCATCTTCCCATCTTGCACTGTCCTTCATTGCCTGCTGTAATCATACGATGTTCATTATTGTTGCGGCCCGGCGCACTGCCGGAGCAGGCGGGCCCCCCCTCCTGCCTCCAAGGGCCGTCGCATCGCATCGTCGCATCGCATCGCATCGTCTCTTAAATCCTTCGGGCTGTCGTGACCAGTTTTTGAGAGGGCAATCGCTGCTGCCATCCTGGCTCTAAGCTACCGCGCGCCGAGGGCCCAGGCCACCTTGCATGGCGGCGGCCCTCTGCGCGGCCTTGGCGGCGGGGGCCTTGGCGAGCTGCGGGAGCTGGCGCGCGGGGCCGCGGCCGAGGTGGCGCGGGTGGCGTTTGCGGGGCCGCTGCCGTGCCCCCGGCGCCCCGCTTGCCACCCGGCGCCGTGCGCGCCGTGCCCGGGCTGCCCGCCAGCGCCGCCGTGCCCGGCGCGCGTGCGCGCCGAGCCCCCGCCGCCACAGGTGCTGGCAAGGCGGAAGAGCGCCTGCGGAGGTGGCTGCCCTGGCTGGCTGCTCTGGCGACGGCCTGCATCGCTGGGCGCTGGAGTATGTCGACCCGCGACGACAAGCTCCCAGGCGCCCGCCTGCTGGTGCGGTTCGCAGCGATCAGTGGACTCATGAACGGCTGCTGCTCTGGCCCGCCTACGTGGACCGCCGACGCGAGTGCTGGGTGATCGAGACCGCCGACGGTGATCGCTACGTCGAGCGGCGCGCGGAATAGGTCTGGCAAGCCTCGCAGCTCCACAGCTGGCCTGAGGGCCCCGAGGGCTTCAGCGGCAACGCGGCGCGCTTCCGCGGCGAGCTCGACCGCGGGGCCCCGCGACAGATGATGCTGGAGGGCAGGGAGCTGGCCCGAGAGGAGCGACGGCTTCGACGCCTCCCAACCACGTTTGGGGCCCACCTTGGCGAGGAACCCATCGGCATGGTTGACTGGCACGGCAACCAGCGCGGCCTGGACGTCTGGGTTCGGAGGTTGCCCGGCGCAGCCCAAGTGTCGAGCGGCCTCCGGCCGTGGCCCTCTCTTGGGCCGTCTTGGAGGCCATCTTGGGCCGTCTTGGGCGAACTTGGAAACCATCTTGGACCAGATTGGAGGCCATTTTGGGCCAACGTGGCCATCTCGGCGCCGTCTTAAGCCATTTTGGGGGATTTTGTTCCGGATTGAACATCTTCCTGGGACATTGGCTGGACGCGCAGGCCCAGGGCGAGTTCTTTGGAAAAAAACAAAAGCAAAACCGAGAGGATCCAGCACGCCAGGCACCCCGGCGATGAATCGACAAGGGGCGGCGGATCGAAGACGCCCACGGCGAATCACTGCCGCCCCCTGCTTTTTTGGAAGCGCCTACGTGGCCGAACGTCGAGGCCAGACCTGCCAAGCTATCGGACCACGCGTTCCCCGAATCGGTTTGGAAAGCACTCGGGGAACATGTGGGCATCTTGAAGGTCATCTTGGCCGCCTGGAGGCCATTTTGTGTCTTTTTCGGGCCTTCTCGGAGGATGTTTTGGAGGCCATTTTGAGCGTCTTGGAGGCCTCGCTGTGCCGTCTTGGAGGCCTCTCGGGGTCGTCTTGGGCCGCTTGGGCGATGTTTTGGGGCATTTGGGCCGTCGGAAGGCCGTCGGAAGGCCGAAACATGTAAATGCCACAATCCTTCACAAATTCAAGGGAAACCATTGATCTGGAGGCCCTCTTGGAGGCCTTCTGGAGGCCCTCTTGGAGGCCTTTTGGGCCGTCTTGGGCCATTTAAGTGCCATCTTCGGCCGTCTTGGTGGGCCCCTGGCCCGTCCGACGCCGCCGGAAGCCGTCTGGGGGGCCTCGCTGAGCCGACTTGGGGCCCTCTTGGAATGCTCCAGGGCCACTAGGAGGTCATCTTGGGCGTTTTAAAGAACTCCTGGGCCGTCTTAGGGGCCTCTTGGGGCCATTTTGGGGGCCTCTAGAGCCGTTTTGGGGCCATCTTGGAGGCTTCTTGGGTCATCTTTTGGCGATCTGTGAGGGCCATTGGTCCGTATCGGGCTGTCGGAAAGCCGAAACGAAACAAATGTCCAAATCCTTCAAACATTTATGGGAAATCAATGTGTTTGGCCTTTTTCTGGCCTTCCTGGAGGCCCTCATGGAAGCCTTTCTGGGCCGTCTTGGGCCAGCTTCGAGCCCATTTCGGCCATGTTGGTGGGCGCCTGGCCGGTCTGACGCCGTTGGAAGCCGTTTGCAGGCCTCCAGGGCCGTCTTAGAGGTCATCTTGGGCGTCTCGGAGGCCTCTTGGGTTGTCTCTGTGCTCTCTTGAGGCCGTCTTGGGGGGCCTCTTGGGCAGTCCTGGGGCCATCTTGGAGGCCTCTTGGGCGCTGTGGGGGCGATCGGGGCCTCTCGGGCCGTCTTGGGCCGTCGGAAAGCACAAAAGAAATGAATGGCACAATTATTCAAAAACCTAAGGCAAATCAAAAAAAATGGTCTCTTCGGGCCTTCCTGCAGGACCTCTTGAAGGCTTCTTGCGGCCGTCTAGGAGGCTTTTGGAGCGACTTTGGACGTATCTTGGGCTCTCTTAGGCCGTCTTGGAGGCTGTCTTGGACCATCTTGGGCGGACTTGGAGGCCATCTTGGACCATCTTGGAGGCCATTTTGGGCCAACGTGGCCATCTTGGAGGCCGTCTTGAGCCGTGTTGGAGACTTTCTTCGTGACGTTGACGTCGTTTGCGGCCCTGGAAGCGCCTCCCGGCACCCTGGCCGGACGGGCCGAAGCCCCATGGAGGCTCTTTTAGGAAAAGAACCAAAACCAAAACCGGAATCGTCTAGCACGCCAGGCACCCTTGTTCCAAGCAACAGGGGGCGGCGGATCGAAGACGCCTACGGCGAATCACCGCCGCCCCCTGCCTTTTTGGAAGCGCCTATGTGGCCGAACGTTGAGGCCAGACCTGCCAAGCTATCGGACCATGTGTTCCCCGAATCGGCTTGGAAAGCCGTCAGGGAACACGTAGGCATCTTGAAGGTCATCTTGGCTGCCTGGAGGCCATATTGACCATTTCGAGCCTTCTTGGAGGACGTCTTGGAGGGCTCTTGGGCCGTTTTTGGTGCCATTTTGAGCGTCTAGGAGGCCTCTTGGGCCGTCTGAGGGGCCTCTTGGGGCCCTCTTGGGCGATCTTTGGGGGCACTTGGGCCGTCGGAAGGCCGTCGGAAGGCCGAACAAAAAGCAAATGCCACAATCATGCAAAACTCATGGAAATCATTGATGTTGGTCTTCTCGGGCCTTCCTGGGGGCCCTTCTGGAGGCCTCTTGGGCCGTCTTGGGTCATCTTAGTGCCATCTTCGGCCGTCTTGGTGGGCCCCTGGCCCGTCCGACGCCGTCGGAAGCCGCTTGGGGGGCCTCGCTGAGCCGACTTGGGGCCCTCTTGGAATGCTCCAGGGCCGCCTAGGAGGCCACCTTGGGCGTCTTAAAAGCTTCCTGGGCCGTCTTGGGGGTCTCTTGGGGTCGTTTTGGAGGGCTCTTGGGCCGTTCTGGGGCCATCTTGGAGGCCTATTGGGCGATCTTTGGGCGATCTTTGGGGTCTCTTTGGCCGTATCGGGCAGTCGGAATGCCGAAACGAAGCACATGTCAAACTCCTTCAACAACGTATGGAAATTAAGTGTTTGGCCGTTTTCTGGCCTTCCCGGAGGCCCTTTTGGAAGCGTTTTGGGCCGTCTTGGGCAAGCTTCGAGCCAACTTCGGTCATTTTGGTGGGCGCCTGGCCCGTCTGACGCCGTCGGAAGCCGTTTGGGAGGCCTTGCTGGGCCGAGGTGGGGCCCTCGTGGGGTGTTCCAGGGCCGTCTTAGAGGTCATCTTGGGCGTCTTGGGGCCTTTTGGGTCGTCTTGGGGCCCTCTGGGGGCCGTCTTGGGGTCCTCTTGGGGTCATCTTGGAGGCCACTTGGGCCGTCATGGGGCCCTCTTGGCGGCCTCTTGGGCGATCTTGGGGGCCTCTTGGGCCCTCTTGGGCCGTCGGAAAGCCGAAAAGGCGCAAATGCCAAACTCCTCCAAAAACTTATTGAAAATCAATGATTGTAGCCCTTTCGAGCCTTCCTGGAGGACGTATTGGAGGGCTCTTGGGCCGTCTTGGAGGCCCCTTGCGGGCCTTTTGGGCAGTCGTAGACCATTTTGAGGCCATCTTGGGCCGTCTTGGGTGCATCTTGGAGCCATCTTAGACGTCTTTGAGGCCATCTTGGCTATCTTAGAGGCATCTTGGAGGCCATCCTGGGCCATCTTGGCCGTCTCGGAGGCCATCTTGGGCCAATTCGGGGCAACAAAGGCATTGGCGGATGGATTTTTTCGGGAAGGGAACCCGGTGGGACGGGCCGAAGCCCCAGGGGGGGTTCTTGTAGAAAAAGAACCGAAGCCAGAACCATACAGTTCGGCACGCCAGGCACCCCTTTGATAAATCAAAAGGGGCGGTGGATATAGTGGCCTTCGGCCCATCCCGCTACCGTGCCAGGGTTGTAGGTCAGAGGCCTCCTTGATGCTGTGAGGATCCCTCGGGGGGCCTCTCGGATGCCTCTTGGAGGCGGTTTTGTTGTGTCATGGGGCGTTTGGGGGGCTTATTGGGGCCTGATTTGGGCTTCTCGGGGGCCGCTTGGGGCCTCTTTGGCGCGCCTCGGGGGCCTTTTGGAGGATCTTGGTGACATTTTGGGGCAGAGGGCTTAAACTGTCAATTCGTGTTGCTCATTTTGAGCCCATCTTGGGGCCGTCTTGGGGGCCTCCTGGAAAAGTTGGTCATGCGAACGCGACGCAGAAAACAAGGACATCTGAGAGCTCTGTTTCTGTTGACCGCCCTCCAAGGCTTCCAAGACGGCCCAAGCGGCGCCCAAGAGGGTTCCAAGACTGTCTCCGGGGCCATCTGAAACATGTTGGACATGCATGTCCCGAACAACGCGCTCTTGGCCTCTCGAAAACTCAAGCGGGGACCCCCCGACAGCGCCCAGGAACGCCCGGAACTCTGGGCTGTGGTCTCCTTGAGGAATATGTGAGACACCCACTTCAGAGCACTCGAAGGGACCTGAGGACACTCCACTGAAAGCCTTGGGCTCGGCTGCGTGTATAGTTGACGTGAATCCTTGTTGATAGGTTTACGCATATTTACCCATGTGTGTGTGCGCATACTTATAGACATGGATGTATACAATATACGGTCAGGTGGGTAACATGTCGCTCTGCCGGCTCTGGCACACCACAGATCGGCGCGACACGGTATCCATCCCCCAGCTCCCCAGCATCAGCGCCCCGAGCTTGTTCAGGCGTCCCGCCCCGCGGAGCGGAGCGACATGCTGTCCGCTCGGAGGGCATCGCGTGTCGTTGGGGCCGCTGCTGCGACACGCTAAGCAAGAGTTTCCGACCGTACCTGCCCAAAACCACGAACGGCAGCACGCCCCCTGCGTATGAATGTTTAGCACACACACATACATATTTATATACATATATATATATATATGAATGTATGGATGTGTGTATGCGTCTGTATATGAAACGCGCATGAACCAGTTCGAAACACGCGCCGGTCCCCGTAGGGCAAGATGGCCCGTCTCCCAAAGCGTACCGATTCGTGGAGCAGCACTTCGTGCTTGTATAGTTCCATAGCTCTGTGTGGACGCCCCCCTAAGGAGGGCATTGTAAATCGCATGTGGTCCGTGGGTGCGTTGCAGGCACCATCAGACCCTTCCGAACGCAGTTACCGCTCAATGAGGCATTCGCGACACAAACTTTTGGTAGTTACGTCTTGGAAGGGAGGGGCCGACAGTTGCGGAAAGCCATGCGCCCTGTTCTTGTTTCAAAGAAGTTGTATGCCTGGGCTCCCTGCGCGGCTGTTCTCTGCTCGAGCAGGGCCGTGGCGACGAGGAGCCTCGCAGAGGGCCCTTCAACTGTGCAACACAGCCCAAACTTCGATCCTCGTGCCTCGAAGCTCGATCCTCGATCGCCTCGCCTCGATCACCTCGATCGCCTCGATCCTCGATGCTCGGACCTCGGCTGTCTCGATGCCCTCGAGCCTCGATGCTCGAGCCTCGTTCTTCGATCCTCGACGCCCTCGGCCCTCGAGCCTCTTTTCTCGATCCTCGAGGCGCAATCGACCCTCGGCCCTGGTGGCGGGCCTCTCGGGGAGCTCTTTGGGCCATCTGTCGGCGGCGCGCAGGGGGGGGGGGGGGGGGCGGGGAGGGGGGAGGCTTCTTAGAAGCACCCTGCTTCTCAGAAGGCGCGAGTCTTGTCTTGTCGATCGGCGCTTTCTAAGAAGCAGCCTCCTAGAAGCCCCCCCCCTACCCCCTCGTGCGCGCGCCAAATCCTGGGGCGATCTCGGGGGCCCACATGGGGCGTCCTGGGGCGCTGGAAGCCCGACAAGGCGAGAAGGCCAGGGTCGTGCCGAACGGGCCAGCGGGAGATCGAGGACTTCGGCCTCCTGGAGGCAAGTTTTGGAGCTCGGCCCCCCGCTCCTGCGCGGCCGCCCCAGCTCGAGCAGGCGCGCCGCGCCGCCGCGGCCGCCCCAGCGTGTCCCGACGAATGGCGGCCTCCGTGGCCGGGCCGCTGACGCCCCCGGCGACCAGCGCGGCCGCCGGAGGGGGGGGAGGGAGGAGGAGGAGGAGGAGGAGGAGGAGGAGGAGGAGGAGGAGGAGGAGGAGGAGGAGGAGGAGGACAAGAAGAACGAGCTCGAGACCGTAACTCGGCCTGACTGAAGGGTTTCGGCCACAAGCCAGCCTCCAGACGATTCCAGTACTCCTGCCTGTGCGGCTCGATCAAGGGGGGGGCAGGGAAGCTTGAAGATTCGAAGATCTTGTGCTTGGTGCTTGGAGCCGGCTGGGGGTCTGAGGTGGCCCAGCACTGGCTCCGGCCAGCAGGAGTGGGGCGCGAGGTTCGGGGCGCTGGGTTCTGGAAGGTTTTTTTGCATTTTTCGGCCTCCTGGAGTCCCGGGGCAGTCAAGAGCGGATCCAGGTGAAATATTGCACCAGATGGACCCTGGGGGGGCTCCAGGGATTGATTTTGAGCGGATTTGGATTCATCCCCCCTCCTGGCGATTTTTTAGGCCCCAACCAGTTCCGATCCGCTGGCCGCCTCCGATTTTGGGCCATGCTTCCTGTCGGATGTGGCTGATGGGCAGTTGAGTCGGATGGTGTTCGTGCTGTGGCGCACTCGGCAGCTCTCGATCCCAACTCCGTCCGCCGTTTTTGGGCGATGTTGGTCAGGATAATAGTTACTCAGCTGAGAGAATGAACGTTCTCAAGAACGGTATCGACCCCAGCACGAGACGATTCGTTGGTCGATTGGTGCCGATCGTAAGGACTGCGAAGGGCTGGATGCCCACGGGGTCATCCACAGTCCCGTGCCTATTCACTGCAGGCTCTGCCAGCAGTGGTAAACAGCATCGATGCCAAAGGGATGCCAAAGACATTCGGGGAGGAGGAGGGAGAGGGAGGAGGAGGTGCCGATCCTCCCTCCTCGAACCCTCCCTCGAGCCCGATGTGCGAGGGCCGAGGATTGAATTTCAAGGATCGAGAGGCCTTTGGGGGTTCTCTGGTCTCCTTGTGGGCCTTCGCGAGACCCCCCAGCGCCACAGCACGATTCCCCTGAGATCCTGGCCAGAACGCAATCCAGCATGAGAGCTCCGGGGCAACTATATCTTGTGGACGACATCCCGAGGAGGCTTTTCCAAGTGGGGTTACCAGGTGGGATATCCCCGCTGGGTTGTCCAAGGGATTTTCTGGGGTAGGTGCTTTAGTTGGTCATTAGTCAGCATGGTCGTTTGGGTTGTCCGGGGAGGGTGGGCTGGGGATATTTTGTTGATTGGAGTTCCCATGAACATAATTGATTTTGGACCCCATCACCCAAACATCCAACGCATTGCCGTTTTTGCCGCTTTCGGCTGTTTTGCAATTTACGGCACCCAGGGGCCGTCTGCGGGTCCACCAGGACTGTGAACCAAAATGCCTTGGCCCTCTCGGGGCCGTCAACCAAAGACACTGCTCGGGACGAAAATCCGGCCCTGGGGTCCGAGGTGGGGATTTATCCAGAAGCACCGCCTGGGGGATCGATCTTCGCGGACCTCCACACGCAGTGGATCTGGATACATTCGGCCCGCCCCAAGACGTATCCATATCCACCGCCCGCAGGGGGCTCCAGGACGTCGGTTCCCAGGCGGTGGATGAATCCCCGCCTCGCACGAGGAAAGGATCGGGACTTCTGGGGACCCCGTCTGGAAGAACAGATGCATTTGACGTCTGGGGAGGGGGAGGAGCAGAGGTTTCGATTCTCATGTGGGACGGACGCTTCATCATGAACCCTTCAATGGACGGCCCCAGGGCCCCGTAAGGTCTCCCAGTGTCCGAAGACGGCCCAAAGCCTTCTGTCGCGAGTGTTGTCACCAAGCCAGGCCTGGTGGAGTCGAGGATCTACCAGAAGGAGGGACCTCGAGACCCGACGCCGCGAAGAGAATAGCATGGTGACACATCACAACTGGAGCCACATACCCAACCTTCTGGAGGCATCTCTCGAGCCGAATCCGTCGGCGAGCGTCCCGCGACGCAGCGCCCGATCGGCCCATCGCCGATCCTGATACAGAACACGGGAGTAGATAGGCACGCCGATCATTTTCGGGGACTCTCACCAGAAACATGAGGGCCATGCCATAGCAGCAGCAGATGCTGGTCGCCTGGACAGACCTTGCGAGGGTCCCGCGGGGCCCAGCCTGACAGAGCTGCGGCGCCCGGGTCCCAGGGTCCAAGGCCAAGGGCTCCCTCGAGGGCGCGAAGTTATTCGCGCTTCGCGCTTCGCGGTCCTCGTTCCTTCTCCTCCTCCTCCTCGTCCTCCTATTCTCCCTTTGGGAGGGCGGCGCGAGAGCGCGAAGTTATTCGCGCTTCGCGCTTCGCGCAGCGCGAAGCGCGAAGTTGGGAGCCCTAGAAGGCCCGCCGTGACCAACGCTGTGGACCGCAGCTGGCGGTGAGGGCGCTGGCAGTGAGGGCGCCGCCGTCGCCCGCGGGCGCGTGCTCAGGAGGGAGCATCGACGGGGGTGAGCAGGGACGGACACAGGGAGGGGGGGGTTGGGGGAGCGAGAGAGGGATGAGGATGAGGACGAGGATGAGGATGAGAACGGGGGTGACGGTGCTGGTGATGTTGATGGTGATAGTCATGTGTATGGCGATGGTTGTGATGATAGTGATGATGGTGCTAATGGTGACAATTGGGATGATGATGATGATGATGCTGATGATGCTGATGATGCTGCTGAGGATGAGGATGAGGATGGCGATGACGATGATGATGGTGGTGGTTATGATGATGATGATGATGATGATGATGATGATGATGATGATGATGATGATGATGATGATGATGATGATGATGATGATGGTGATGGTGATGGTGATGGTGCTGATGATGATCATGATGGATCATGTTGCTGTTGCTGATGACGATGGTGTTGGTAATGATGATGATGAGTATGATGTTTGTGATAATGATGATGCTGATGATGATGATACGGATGATAATGCTGAAGATGATGATGATCATGATGCTGATGATGAAGGTGACGATGCTGGCGATCATGCTGATGCCGATGTTAATGACACATGTGATGATGGTGAGGATGCTGATGCTGATGATGATGAGGATGCTGATTATGCTGCTGCTGCTGATGCTGCTGCTGATGATAGTGATGCTGATGGTACTGGTGATACTGATAATGCTACTTATGATGACGGTGGTGATGTTGATGGTGAGTACGATGGTGGTACTGCCGATGCTGTTGCTGCTGATCATGATGGTGATGATGCTGATGGTGATGGTGATGATGAGTGTGGCGATGTTGTGGACGGTGATGATGGTGATGATTACGATGAAGATGATGATAACGAAGAGAGCACGATTAGGATGATGATAACGATCATGATGATGATGCTAATGATGCTGTTGGAGATGGTGATTGTAATGGCGGTAAGTATGATGAAGAAGAAGAAGAAGATGCTGATGATGATGATGATGGTGATGTCGGTGATGATGGTGGTGATGATGCTGATGCAGATGCCGGTGATGATGATGGTCATGATAATGATGACGACGATGTTGATGTTGATGATGACGATGGTGATGATAGTGATGATGATCTTGATGTTCGGTCCCGTGGGTGTCGAATGACATTCGACGTCTACGTGGGCACAGGCGGGGGTCCGACCACGCTGATGTGCAGCACCAGCATGGACCTCGCAGTACACTGCGGCGAGGAAGAGGAGGAGGAGGAGGAGGAGGAGGAGGAAGAAGGATGGAGCAAGATACAGCAGGCAGTGGGCCGCAGCGACCAGTCCACGCAGCCGTCGGAGGGCACTTCCGGCGCCTCTCTGGCCAGCTGCCGCCTGGGCTTGCTGGTGGAGGAGGACCGCTGCTGCGGGCTGCCCGAGGGGGGGTGGCTACCCAGGGGGGTGGAAAACCAGTCGATGTATTGATTGCACGTGCTTCTCCCTCTACTACACGTCTCCTCCGTAACCACTTCCGCGGGGCTGTCTTCACCGGGGGCCACGGGCATCGTGTTGTCCGTTTTAGCAGGTGCGTTCTGCGCGGGTCGTTCGGTTGCAAATAGGCCCGAGTCGGTGCTGCAGGTGTGCCGCGGCCCTGGCGCGAACAAAGTACCTGTGTGTTGGGGCTCCGCTGGTGTGGCGCGGCCTCCCTAAGAAAGTACTTGCGCGGTGAGACTCCCAAAGGTACGCAGTGTCCTCTTGGGACTGGCGTGGTTCGTGAATGTATATATATATATAAAAACATACGTAGACACATCGATGTACATTTGTATATGTATGTATGTATGGATGCGTGTGTATGTATGTTTGTATGTATGTATGTATGTATGTATGTTTGTATGCATGTATGCATGTATGCATGTATGCATGTATGCATGTATGCATGGATGCATGCATGCATGTTTGTATGTATGTATGTATGTATGTATGTATGGATGGATGGATGGATGGATGTTTATATGTATGTACGTATGTATGCATGCATGCCTGCATGTATGTATAGATATGTGTATGTTTGTATGTATGTCTGTATGTATGTTTGTATGTATGGATGTATGTATATATGTATATATGTATGTATGTATGCATGTATGTATGTATGTATGTATGTATGTATGGATGGATGGATGGATGGATGGATGGATGGATGGATGGATGGATGGATGGATGGATGTATGTATGTATGTATGTATGTATGTATGTATGTATGTATGTATATGTGTGTATGTATGTATGTATGTATGTATGTATGATGGATGGATGGATGGATGGATGTATGGATGGATGTATGCATGTATGTATGTATGTTTGTATGTATGTATGTATGTATGTATGTATGTATGTATGTATGTATGTATGTATGTATGTATGTATGTATGTATGTATGTATGTATGTATGTATGTATATATGGATGGATGGATGGATGGATGGATGGATGGATGGATGGATGGATGGATGGATGGATGGATGTATGTGTGTAGGTATGCATGTATGTATGTATATATGTATGTATGGCTGTAGGTAGGTAGGTAGGTAGGTAGGTAGGTAGGTAGGTAGGCATGTATGTATGTGTATATATAGGGGCTCCGAGATCGCTTCCAGGCGCGTTCCTGGCTCCAATAACCGCCCTCAGGAGCCTTTCGATCGCTTCCGAAGGCGCCCGGGGACATGACAGCACCCCGCAATCGTTCAAAAGGCGGCTCCCAGACAGTCCCAGAGCGTTCTAAGATCCTCTCGAAGCTTCCCGGGACCTGCCCCAGGGGTAGGGTTCACATGTACTTGCCTAAAGAGGGTCGCCCAGAGGAGGGCCGAGGGTTTCGAGGCTCGAGATTTCCAGACCTTTTTGGGACTTGCTGGAGCTCCAGGGGGCGTTTCGTCGTCACGGCCGGATTCCCTTGGAAGTCGTGCCCATCCTGTTGTAGCGAAGTGTTGGCCGCCTAGGTCATCACCCGCGGTAGCGTGAATGTAATCGCGTTTCGCGCGTCGCGGCTTGGGCCAAAGTGGCAGACTTTCTGCAAGGGGCCAGCGCGAAGGCGCGAGGGCGCGAAGGGAATCGCGCGTCATGAATAGTGGGCGCGATGCGCGAAGTCGGGTGACCCACAGCCAAGGCGCTGATGTGAGGAGCAACTCGGGTTCGGAAGGGGCTCGATGTTCCTTCGGTCCTTCCCAGGTTGTTCCTCTGCAGCCCCCCCCTGCACCCAGGCGCTTGTGGGGCCTACAAAAGGCTCCCTTCCGTACTGATCAAGCCTTGCGGTAGCAGTCCGACCGCAGATCGCTTTGACGTGCTGAGCTCTTCGCTCTGCTCTCCTCTGGAGCCGCTCTGCTCTCCCGTTGAGCCTGGGCAGCGCCTGGCGCCCCGTTCGACAGAGAGAGGGAGAGAGAGAGAGAGAGAGTAGGACGTGGCTGAATGGGGCGGGCGAAAATCGGGGAGGTGAAGAAAGGTGCACCTTCCCCTGGACCCCACATGTGCACGAAAGGTGCACCCTTCTTCACCCTCCCGTGTAAGCACTGCCCCCCGCTTGAGCACAGGGGGGGTGAGAAAAGGTGCAGACTTCGGGCACCTTCGGTGCCCGCACCTTCGGGTCCCTCAGGGCCCCCCCTGGGGCCCCACATGAGCACGAAAGGTGCACCTCACTCTTGCCGCCCATCCCCGAGGAGGAGGAAAGGAGGAGGAGGATGAGAAGGAGGAGGAGGAGAATGAAGAGGGGAGAGAGGGAGGGAGGGAGGGAGGGAGGGAGGGAGGGACGAGGAGGAGGAGGGAGGAGGAGGAGGAGGAGGAGGAGGAGGACTCTCGGTTTATGGCCCCCCCACAGAGGAAGCAACGCCCGAGAGAGGGGGAGTGAGAGAGGACGCGCGGCGGCAGCTCTCGGGCGGTCTGCTGCTGGTGCGCGTGCGGCTGGCGGCGGACGAGGCGGGCCGCAGGGCCTTCTTGGGGGGGGAGGTTCAAAGATGAAGTCCTGAGGGATGGGGCCCCTCCTCCTCCTCCCTCCTCCTCCTCCTCCTCCTCCTCCTCCTCCTCCTCATATGGGCTCAGGGGAGGGGGGGCCCACAGCGGCCCCCGATCGCCCATGCATGGCCGATGGGGGGGCCCCCTCGGGGCCCCATCTTTGCACCGCCGACCTTGGGGGGGACGGGGGGGTTCTTCGCACCCCTCTCCCCTGGGGATGGGCTCGGAGGGGGATGCTCGAAATTCGAGGTGCGAGGTTTTCGGGCATTCTCGCTGGCTCGGCGGCCGTCTGGCGTCGGGGTGCCTTTCAGCAGCTGCGCCTCGCCGAGAGCGTCACGGGGATGTCAGGAGCGTCCCGAACAGCCGCTGGAGAGCGGAGTTATGACCCGAAAACCAGGGGGCACCGAGCAGGGGGGATCGGCTCAGTGGGGGATGCATCGACCCCCCGCCCCGCCCAGGGACGTTCGGTTTTTTGGGGGGCCTGTCGCCGATCCATCGGCGACGTGAGGGCGGGCCGCGGAGCCCCCAGGGGAGAGATGGACTCCGGCACCCGCTCGATCGACTCCGCCACGAACGTGCCAGGACATCGGATGCACACGACGCGGCCAGCCTGGGCGAGAGCTGGCAGCAGACGTGGCCGGACGTGCTTCCAGCGCTCGGCCCTGCCAGGGCCGGGTACTCTAGGCGCGGTGTTCCAGGAGGAGGAGGAGGAGGAGGAGGAGGAGGAGGAGGAGGAGGAGGAGGAGGAGGAGGAGGAGGAGGAGGAGGAGGAGGAGGGGGAGGAGGAGGAGGAGGAGGAGGAGGAGGAGGAGGAGAGGGAGGAGGAGGGAGGAGGAGGGCCTCGACGGCCCGCGGGCCGAGGGCCCCTCGGACGTGGCCTTCGGATGCTCCAGGTGAGAATTCAGCCACGTGCGTTCCCGGTCTCCCAGTATGTGCGCCGGCGCCCGCCGTCGAAGTGCCTGGCCTTCACGGGAGGGCACAGGGTGCACATCTCACCGTCAATGGCCAGCCACTCTTCACACTGCAGCCCTGCTGAGGGCACGGGAGGGATGTTCCGGGTCGAGCGCGGTACAAAGTACCCGGAGCACGCGATACGAATTGGTGTTTTATACGTAGCCCCCCGCGGTTGCGGATGAGAGTGAGGGGGCGGCGAGGACGTCGTCAGTCCGTGAGGCGGCTCTAAAGAAGCCCGCCGTGGGCGCTTCACTTTACAAGTTATGCAGTGAGCCCGCCGCAGGCGCCGAGTTTCTCGCTAAAGCAATGTGGGTGGATCGCGGGGTGGGTCGCGGGTGGGTCGCGGGTGGGTCGCGTGTGCGTCGTTGGGGGGGTTCGCGGGCGGGTCACGGGGTGGGTCGCGGGTGGGTCGTGGGCGGGTCGCGGGCCGGCTCGCGGGCCGGGCGCGGGTAGGTCGCGGGTGGGTCGCGGGGTGGTCGCGGGGTGGGTCGCGGGTGGGTCGCGGGCGGGTCGCAGGGGGGACGACGCAGCAAAACAATAAGCAGAGTTCTCGCCGTGGATCCCCACTTCAGCCACGCCCTCGGGGACAGTGAATGACCGTTCGGCCCCCTCACTCTGGTAATTCCTTTGTTGTCTGACCCACGCTTGAGCCGTTTGTCTGTGTATAGATCTATGTGGCGTGTCGAATGAGCTCATACTTCCCTGAGACCCGGGCTTTGCAGTCTTTTCGCACCAGGTGTTGTCGCCAGGGCTCGGGTTCTGATGTCCCTGCGGATCGATCCGGCTCGAGAAGTGCCACAGAAAGTTGGAATGCCGATTTCCGTGTGTCTTGATTGTAGTTGTTGAATTTTGGTATGTGCCATCGTATCTCAGGATGCGATGAAAACAAAGAGCTCCCAAGCTGTGATTGCGCAGTTTGGGCCGCCCGGCTCCAGGACCTTTCCAGCGACTTCTAGATTGAGCCTTGGCGGCTGCGGTTCGCTCAACAGATTCACTCAATAGATACACGCATGCCTGCAATCCTGCAGCTACCCATGCACAGCGTATTTAATCACACGCTGCAGTGGCAACGATACTCGGCGCGCATCTCAGGGTTCACGGGGCGGGCGCAAGGGGGGTAGAGGGCGCGAAAGGGCTCGGCCCCGCCGGCCAGTGCGTTCCTCGAGGCACGGTTGTTGCCCCCGGCGCCGGGAGCCGCGGAGAAAACCAGCTGCATGCAGCTGATTCGCCAGCCCTCCCCCCCTCTGTCGTGGTGTCCAGCCCCTATCAGCCGAAAAGGCATGTGACCAGAAGCAGATGTGACCGACAACGCTTTTGGAATTGTGACTGAAACGTAGCGCGACTGCAATTGCGACCGACATTGAAAACCGCTTTTGCATCGAACCAAGACTTTCGGTCACATTGTTGCGTGCGGAAAAATCGGGCTCTGGTTTCGGTTACTCTCGGGTAAATGTTCCCCCGCAGTTTCGATCACTACGCCCCCTGATAGAGGCAAGGCTGCGTGACCTTTGCTATTCACTCTGTTGCGTCCGACTCAACCGCCTCCTGGCAGCGCCTCCGGCGCCGCCCCGAGTGCGCTTCACGCGCCAGGGTAGGTGGGCCCACCGCCGACCCAAGCATCTGTGCGGACCTCCGGACGCTTCTGTTTCATCCATTCCTCTTGCTCCTCTGAGATTGGAGGTCTGTTCAGAGCCTCCGGGAGGCTTCGATCTGTTCGGAGTCTCTGGGAGGCTTCTCGTGGCCACGGCTGGATCCGCGCACACCCCTCACACGTGTCGTGGTCCTATAGGGAGCTCCACCACAGGCCCAGATGCGAGCGCTCGCATGCGCCCACCGCGCTCATTTTGGCACACCCCTCCCACGTTGTGTGGCCCCACGGGGAGTTCCACCGAAGGCACACATACCAGCGCTCGCATGCGCCCACCGCGCCCATGTTGGGACACCCCTCACACGCTTCGTCTCCCCATAGGGAACTCCACCGAAGGCCCACCTGCCACACGCCGCCCGCCGCGCGGACCGATGCCAGGCTCGCTCACGCCGGAGGCCTGCCGCCGGGCCGAGGAAGCTGCGCGCGGCGCACTCATCGCGGCCCACGCGGCCTCGGGCTTGGCCGCGGAATGCCCCCCCGAGGGGGTGCGCCTTCTCCGCGCGGCCGAGGGCCTCCTGCGCGTTGCGGTGGCCGTGATGCGCGGCCCTCGCGCGGCGCTTGCCGCGCCTGCCGACCTTCCTGATGCTGATGCTGCCCTCCCTCCTGCTGATGCTTGTGAGGATCCGATGGAGCTGGCGAACGACCGATGGGCTGACCTCGCACTTCCCCGTCGCGGCGGCGGCGCTGGGAGGGCGGCGGCTGGCGGCTCGGCTTATCCATGGCCAGGGCGACCCGAGGCGGAGCGCGAGCAGCTCCTGCTGGCTTCGATGGCGTTGCTGTGGAGTTCCTCGGGCTACGACCCTGGCCAGGGGGCGGAGCTTTTCGAGGAGCTCAAGCGCAAACTGGCCTTCAGAGGGCTCGGATGCCGACGGTGCATGCGTGTAGCGGCCTGTTTAGCAGCTGCGCGCCTCTCGCCGAGCGCCTTCTTGAGGCCGCCAGGGTGTGGCTTCGGTGGGCTTCCCCCGGTTGGGGGGGGGGGACACGGCCAGGAGGGTGCCTTGCGTGGGCGCCCCTGGTGGCGCTGCAGACTTGGCCCCTCCCTTCTGCTCCGCCGCGCCCGCCATCGCAGGTGGGTGCCCACTGAGAGGACTGCTTCTGGGGCCGCTGCAGATGTCTGTACAGCTAAAAGGGCCAAAAGGCCAGCCCGCACTCGCCCACCGCACCCTTTTTGGCACACCTTTCACACGTTTCGCGGCCTCAAAAGGGAGCTTCACCGGATGCGGCGCATACAACGGCAGTGCCCACAATTGCATATGGTTGGGTTTTTCGCGAGGCGAATCCTGAGGCGCGGGATGTCGGGTATCGACCGTCCTAGTCAGGCGGACTGGAAAAACTCGCGACGCGGGAAAGTGTGAGAAGTTGAATGTCTGGTTCACCATCCTCGGTCTTCCTGGGGGCCCTCGTCGCCGCGGCAGGATGGTCTTCGACATCCTGGCCATAGCGCACCCCAGGATGGGTCTGGAGTTCTGGAGGTCAACCATAGTCGCCGTTTCAAAGCCACCAGCGGTTCGAGGAGGGGGAGGAGGACGATGGTCCAGTTTGAAATGTTTGAACGTTTGAGGTCCTCTTTGGGCCTTCTGGAGCTTTTTACGTCGCCACGGTTAGATTTCATTTGAGAGTTTCTGACCAGACCATTTGAAAGGGAGAAGGGAGGGGACCCAGACCTCAAGCGGATTGGAATAATCGAGGTTCGAGAAAAGGCGAGGAGGAGTATGAGAGGGTGGGTAATGTTGTTGCTGCGGATGATGATGATGGTGGTGATGATGTTGACGATGTTGTTGGTTGATGTTGTTGGTGATGATGGCGATGCTGGTGATGATGGCGAGGTGGAGGAAGCCGCTGACGAGGGGTGAGGGAGGACGAGGATGAGGATGACAAAGGGGGAGAATTCGGATGAGGAAGAAGAGGAGGAGGAGAAGGAGGAGGAGGCGGAAGCGGAAAAGGAGGACGACGACGAGGAGGATGGGGATGAAGAGGGAGACGGGGAGACGGAGGAGGACGATGAAGCGCAGGACGCAAACAACATGCTAATGAGAAACATCATAATTCGCGATCCTTGATCTGGGGTCGCAGTGGGCGAAGCTTATCGCTTTCAGGTGGCGTCGCTGCAGGAGCCTCCGCCGCGTTTCTTCCTCGTTCCGCGGCTGGCGTACCTGCCCTTTCTGTTCGGCTGCGTGTCGGAGCACTTCAAGGCCTGCGCGAAGCCCCTCCCCCGTCGTCCCTCGCGCCTCGCTCTTCCTTCCTCCGTCGCTTCCTCATCCCTGGGGGGCACGTGCCGCCCAGAACCAAAACCGCATCCAATGTTGAGGTTCGGCGCTACCGACTTCAAGTGCGCTTCAACATGGCGTTGACGCGTGCGTGGTACTGTTCGCGAGCGTTATTTAGACACGTCGCAGACAGCGCTGCTCGTGAACGGCGACATGTGCAACAGCCTTGTTCTTCCAATTTTCCAATCATCGACTGCCCAGCTGGGTGCCGTCATTGTCGTCGATCGGCCAATTAAACTGCAACCAATAATCGGCACCGCGCTGCGTAGTCTGGAGCAGGGGGTGGGCTGTTGGAGGGCTTCGGGGGCGCTTCGGGAATGCAGCGCGGGAGGGGCCTTGCGGGGCCTGGAGTTTCAGCGGGATCTGCGTCTTGGGCTTCGCCGCTCAGAGAGCAGAGGAATTTCAGAATTTACGCCACGGGGAGATGAGCGGGGGTTGTCGGTTCAATGCATCGGAGGAAGGGTGCAATGCAGTTTCGCAAGGGTCACAGTAACAATGGCCAAGGGGCCTTTCGAGCACCACACGCGGTGCTGCATGGCGGCGCGTCTTGCCGTCATCATATCACATGGCGGTGCGTCGGTTACTTCGCCGCTGGGCCAGGATGTCACCTGTCCGCCCCAGAGTCTGGCATTTGTTAGCCCCTTCTGAGCCTGTTCGCCCCCGTGGTTTGTCACTTGTTACCCTCCTGGGCATGTGAGCCCCAGGGGACTACCACATGTATGCCCCCAGGGCTGTCAAGCATCGACGTCTGTCAGCGAAGGCGGCCGCTAGCGTCGCCGCCGATTCAGCAAATGGCGGCACTGCAGTTGGTGGTTCTGCAGTTGTTTGGGGCAGCGTTGAGTAAGGTTTGGGGCTCGGCCGCGGCGTGGCCCTTCCCTGAGGGCCGCCAAGAAAAATCGGATGCAAGTTTTGGATGCGGCCCCTCTGGGGGCCTCGTAGACAGCACGAGGCCACCAGGCCGATCCGTGAGGGGGCGATCATGTGAGTCGCGTCCCCCTGGCTGGCTCCTCGTTGTCATGCGTGCTGTCTGGGACCGATTCGATGGGATCGTACCTTGCCGTGCACGCGTTTCCTCCCCCATCCTTCCTCCAGTTTTCCTCTGCGCCACCCATTCCATCCCTCCTCTCCCTGGGATCTCAACTCAGCAGCGGCGCTGGTGTGTCCGCGGTCAATCAGCGTCCTAGTTCGGCCTGAGGCCATCAGCCTGGCTGAATCTTGGGGCAAATCTGGCTTGATCCGGCTTATCGGCCCTCAGTCGGGCTTACGTAGTAGCCTTCAGTCCACGACAACCTGTCAGGAGTTGCCGTCCATCTTCCCTTCCTCCTTCCCGCCCTACCTTCCTTCTCTACTTCCTCCGCTCCCTGGGCCCCTGCCAGGCCTGCCTGCCGCCCCAGTTGGGCCAGCCGTACGAGATCTGGTTCGACTACGACGGCATCCCGCTGAGGCGGGAGCCGTGGCCGGCCGGCGAGATGCCCGTTGCCCCGCCCAACGATCTTGTCGTTTGTTTTTTCTGCCTGTTTGATTGTGTGCATGTTTGCTTGCTTGTCAATTTGTTCATGTGTGTTTTGTGTGTGTTGTGTGCGCGTGTGTCCGCCCACCCGCTCTGGGTGCTTGTCCCTGCGCGCGTTCGTCCTAGCGCAGCCGCTATCCCGTTGCGCAGTGTGGAATTCTGCAAGTTCGTGCCCCATTTTGAACGCTCATTGTGATGATGCCACTCGGCCACTGGAGGGACAAGTGTGTGTATTTGTGTGTGTGTGAGTGTATGTATGTGTATGGTTGCTGGTTCAAATCATTCTGGCTCAAGCCATTTGCGTTCAGGCCAACCGGAACCCGCCCGACCGACCGCTGCGTGCTGGGCCGGTGCTGGGCCGTGGCGGCAGGATGGGTGGAACGAGGCCGCTGCCTTCCGAGGCGGCGTTGCCGCGGCGCCGCCCGTTACCGCCAACGCGCAGCAGGCGGCAGCAGCGGTGGCGGCGACCAACAGGCTCGACCTGGAAGACTTGTACGACCTGGATTGGTGTTTGGGCGTGGTGGCTTGTATGGAGCGTTCCGCACTAAACTACGAGGACAAGATCATTGATCGCAGCCTCGAGTCGACTGCGGTCGAGGAGGAGAGTTCCATCAGCTAGGGCCCCGGGCGCGAGGATTTCGAGGATAATTTCCATGATCGGGACTGCGAGCAGGTCTGCTTCGACACGCGCGACGGCGAGCAGGGGGATACCGACGGACCAGATCCGAAATCACCTTGGGGGCGTTCTTCCACTGGTGCTCTTCGCAGCGCTGCCTCAGCTTGCAGCGCTTGCGCAGCTGATTGCTGTGATGAGCATGCTGAGCGTAAGCGTTAGGATCGAGGCGCCCGCGGGCGGCGCAGCTTCGCCCGCCGAAGTGCCGGAGGAAGGCAAGAGCAGTTGCCACAGCAAGTTCGGCTTCGACGGCGACGAGATAGACGATGACCGCTTCGACCCAGAACCCAGACTGCGCCCAAGGGGACGTCGAGGAGGTCAGCGGGCGTCACGCGAGCGGGGAGGAGACGAAGGACACCAGGGACCACGACAATCGAAAGCCTGACGTGGCCGCGGGCGAGGGAGCTGCCTCTCCTGGCCTCCCGGCGGCTGCGTTCCCCTCGCGGCCCACGTCGCGCGGCTCCTCGCGCAGATCTCCAGGCGCTGGCGGCCAGCTGGCGGAGTGCGATGCGCGGGTGGAGGATGCCAAGAAGGGTCGCGAGGGCCTCGCCCAGTCATTGAAGGAGACGGCCACCAATGACGACTTCAAAGCGGACGTGGGGAGCACGGAGGGCCAGGAGAAGACCGCGACCACGAAATCCAGCACCGTCGCCGTCGCCGAGGCCGAGAGCGCGCCTGCTCCGTCGAGGGGCTCAGCATTGACATGGCGTCGTTTTTCCCGTCGGCACACTTCGGCGTGCCTGCAGGCCCTCGGCGAAGTCCGCGAGCTCATGGCTGCCGGCATGGGCCCCGAGGCCTCGCGGGCAGATTCTCAAGGCCGCGGAGGAGCGCCCGACAGCTTTGCAACGCGCGGGCGCGGCGAGGCGGGGGGCGGAGCAGATCCGGCAGGGCGTCGCCTCCGCGCAGGCGCCGGTCTCTGCGCGCGAGTCGATGCGGAGGTCATCGGCGGGATGGGCTCGCAGTTGATGGGCAACCAGTTTATTCTTTCCACCAGCTGCTTGGAACGCCGCGCATGCCTGAGCCGCGAGGCTCGGCGAGGTAGACCCCCCCCCCCTATCCGACCTCCGCCCCCCTTTCCCCCCCCCACACTTCTTCGCTTGAGTCTCCGGCCCGTGCGTCCAGGCCGGCTGGATGGAGCGCCGCGCGTGCCCGAGCCGCGAGGTTCCGCGAGGTCGCCCTCTCCTGCCCCCCCCGCCCTCCGCCCCCTGCCCCCCCCACCCATCCCCCCCCCTCCTCGTTCGAATCCCCGGTCAGTGCGTCCGGGCCGGCTGGGCGGGGCGCCGCGCGTGCCTGAGCTAGGAGGCTCGGCGAGGTAGACCTCTCCTCCCTTCTCCGCCCCCCGTCCTCCGCCCTCCTCTCGCTTCGTTCCTCCCCTCGTTCGAATCTCCGGCCAGTGCGTCTACGCCGGCTGGGTGGAGCGCCGCGCGTGCCTGAGCCACGGGGCTCGGCGAGGTGGCCCCCTCCTCTCCGTCCCCCGCCCTCTTCCCCTTTCCCCCCGCTCGTCGCGCCCCCCGCGCGCCCCGTAGGCTTCGTGGTATATATTCCATGTTTTTTTTTGTTTTTCATTATTGTTATTATTCCAGGCGGGGCCGGGTGGAATTCGGCGCCCGCCGGCGCGACTGACTGACTGGCTGAATGGCTGACCGCCTGAACGTCAGGAGAGAAGTTCTGACGACATATTTCAAACCGCCCGGGAACGCGCAGCCGCAAACGGGCAGCGCATTTCAACCAGCCCGCGAGCACAACCGCAACCGCAAACGGGCGACACTTTTCAACCCGCCCGCGCCATCGCAACCGCAACCGCAACCGGGCGACGCATTTCAACCAGCCCGCGCAAGCGCAACCGCAACCGCAACCGGGCGACAAATTTCAACCCGCCCGCGCAACCGCAACCGCAACCGCAACCGGGCGACACATTACAACCCGCCCGCGCTCGCAACCGCAACCTCAAATCGACGCCACATTTCTTGGTTTCGCCGGTGCTAAGGGTGAATTCAGCGTGGATTTGCGTCTTCGTTTTTCATTTTTTCTGATATGCGCACGTCAATCGATCATGTGGCTCGGGCGTTCGTGTGAATGCCGCGTGGCCAGCGAATTTCGAATGTCTTCCGTGCCCTTGATTCTTCGTCATCGTACTCATTTATCTTATTCCTCTTGCCTGCATTGTTTTTCTCTTCATTTCCCTTCCGCTGTCATCTTTTTTTGTCGGGGCCTGCGGCGGGATCCAACAGGGCGCCGGGAAAGCTGCAAGTGAGCTCGAGGAGAGTCCAGCAGGTCCCGAGAAGGATTGCAAACAGGCCCTAGGGTCCCAAGACAGGCTATGTAGGGGTCCAAAACAACTTGCATACCTGTCTCCTCACATATGTTCTGACGCGTTTCGGCCGTGGCCCGCGGGATTCTATTGTTCATCCGCCTTTTTGCCTTCATTTCCGACGCCTCGCGTATTTCCGCCAGCCAAGGCAAGAGCAATCACCAGGCGAGTTGCCTCGAACAGCATGCGTAGCAGCATGCGGCGCCGCAGCGAACCGAATGCGTTTTCAATGGTTCTGCGCGGGGGGGGGGAGAGGAGGTGGAGGAAGCGAAGGAGCAAATCTGGCGGCGAAGGGCCAGTAGCAACGAAAGAAGAAGAACAGCAATAGGATGGGCGCGTGCTGGGGGCTACAGCAACATGCTAGAGCATGAGAAGGTCGGAAGGATGATGAGGGACCTGAGGGGGGGGGGGTGCGAGGAGCCAGGGGGAGGCGGCAACCGCATTGGTGATCCGCGCAGAACACCTGTGCGCCGCATGCGTTCGTAGACGAGGATGTAGGAATGTGCCAGATGGCGAGGTGGGAGGAGCATGGGGGAGGCAGGAGGACATGGGGGTAAGAACACTCAGGACGAAGCAGTTCCAGAGACGGTGCCCAGGCAAATTGTGTTGATCAGAAACGTGCGCCAGCATGGTGCTCAACCAAGAGCGCGACGCTGTTTACGTTAGAAACGCGAGGGCGGCGCAGGAGGAATCGGAGGATTAACAGCAGCGGGGAAGGAGGACAAGGAGGAGGATGACGAGGAAACGGAGGAGGGGCGGGACGAGGGCGAGGGGTAGGAAAAGGAAGGATGGGAGAGAAAAAGTCACGACGACGGCCAGAATCAATCATGGAGGATTTTGTTTGTTTTTTCACACACGGCTCTTGTTAGAAGCCCCTTGGGGTGATTTGTGGGCCATTGTGGAGCTAATTTGGAGCCATTTTGGGAGAGCCTACGGGGTCCTCTTGAGGCTGTTTCGGGCCTCCTTGGGATCCTCTTCGGGGTCTCGTGGGCCCGTCTTGGAGGCCCTGGGGGCCCTCTCGGGGCCATCTTGGAAACGCCGTCAGTCAAAGAGTGCGGGGCGAGGGTCCTTGCAGCGCCCCCTCTCTGGAGCCGCCCACGTCGCCTCTTGGCGCTCTCTTGGGGCGTTCTTCGGCTGCTCTTGGGCGCTCTCGGCGCCGTCTTGGGGCCCGTCGGGTTCTTCTGAGGCCTCAAGGGCCCATGGAAAACGAAAGGCGACGATACATAACACATAGTACGCAATGGTTTTCACTTTTTTGTCTTGGAGGCCTCCTTGGAGAGCTCGAAGGGCACGCGGGGCCGTCTTGAAGCGGTCTTGACGACTCTCAGAGGCATGTTGGAGGCTATTCGGAATCGTCCTGGGGTGCATTGAGCGATATTGGTGGCGTATCTGGGCTCCTTGCAGCTCTTGGATACATTTTGGGCCGTATTGGGCGTTCCAACGACCCGCGGCTACCTTCCCGCGCGCGAAGGATTGGGCGGGGAAATGGGGCGCCGTGTCCATGAAGGGGAGGGGCGGGCTTGGATGAATTACTTCGTCACGCCGCTCACGCTTAAAGGGGTGCTGGGATTCCTGTCTCCCTCCGGCCCTCTCCTGCGGCGTGCCCCTCCACTCCCTGTGACTTCTCCCCCCCCCTCCCTCCTTCCAGGCCCCGCGCGCGGCCTAGTGCAAATTTCGGGTAGAAAAACAAAAAGTCGTTTTGAATACCTCTCCGAATTCTTGGTGGATTTTTCCTTGGGCGCGCGCATCGAAAAAACGCGCGCGGAAAAATCCGGAGGACACCCGTGAAAATTCACGCGGCTTCCGGGGCAAATTCACATTTGGATTTGGAAAAATCCGGGCAGAATTCACTCGAGAATCCGGGGTAGTATTCCCAGGCGGCCGTGGAAAAATCCCACCAGCCATGCAGAGCGTGGGTGGTGGTTTAACGGGCTAGCTTATCCGCGCGTTTCTCCCTGGCAGGGGCGGGCCCCCCCCCCCCTGCCCTCTCGTCCCCGGGCGTGGACAGAGATTGACCGCGGGGCGGTGGAGCGCCCGAAATGGCCGAAGATGGCTCCAAAGGAACCGCAGGCAACCCAAGAAGGATTCCGAGATCGCTCCATATATTTGCAGATGGCACAATTTTGCTTCCAATGTGCCTCCAAGCCCCCTCAAGACCGCTTCGTGACAGCCCGCAATTGTCTTTCGAGCTCTTGAAGGAGGCCTCCAACAGGTTCAACTCCTTTACAATCACTGTGCGCTTCACTTTTTCCTTCTCGCCTTTTTGCTTTCCGTAGTTTCTAGAGGCCTCGAGATGGCCGCGAGTTGGTTTGAACTTGCTTTGAGAGGGGGCCCCCAGGGCCCAAGTCGGCTCCAAGAGCGCCAAAGAGCGGCCCAAAACGCTTCAAGGGCGTCGCAAGAGGGCCGCATTTGGCGACTGGGGAGCTCGAGAAGGAATGGGGCGTTGCTAGGGCCCCACTTCTTTGACCGACGGCTTCAAGATGGCCCCAGGAGGACCCCCAAGGCTTCCAAGAGGGGCCCAGGAGATCCCCGAAACGACCCGGGGAGGGCCCCAAGGGGCTCCAAGACAGCCGCCACAGGCAGCCATAATTGCCCTAAGAGAGCGCCGCGGCGGCACCGATATGACGACGTTGATGGGGCGCCCCGCAGGCACCTAAAGCGAACGACTCGAGATCCTCGATGATTGATGCCCGTCGTCGTCAGCGTGTTTCTTTCCTCTCTATCCTTTATATTTCCCTTCCTTGTCCTCCTCCTCCTCCTCCTCGTCCCTCTTCTGCGACCTCCTCCTTGTTCTGCTCCCACCCCGTTCCTGTGCGTCTCCCGACTAATTGCTCCTGCGCCCTTTTCTTTTCCCTAATGTAACGGTTGTCATCGTTTTTTTCGCGCGTTGCATGTTGTTTCACTTCGCTTTCATGCTTAGCGCAACTTGCTTGGGATTCGAGTCTGCAAATGCTTTCTTCTGCATGTTATTGCCCCTCCTATTTCCTCCTACTTCCTCCTGCTCCTTGATCCTCCCACCTCTGCCTGCGCCCTCGCTGGTGAGGGCGCACGGCGCACGCGCGTTCCGCGCGGATCACTGGTGCGCCTTTTGCCTCCCTCAGGCTTCTTATGTTTCTTCCTACCTCCCCCAAGCTCATCTTCCGTGTTCCTACCTGCTCGTGCTCTTGCGCGTTTCCAGTCTTTCCTATCACCATACTCCCTCTCTTCACCGTGTTCATTATGATTTTCATGTTCCGCCCTCCTCTCCTTTGCTCCGCTTCCTGCACCTCATCATCCGCGAATACGGATGCGGCTCGCTATTTTCGCCGCTTGCCCGATTACCCGGTTTTGATCAGGGCGACTCGCCTTGCGGTTGCGCATGGATTGGCTCGCGAGGATTTGAGCAACGCGCCAATGACTTCACCGGGCGTTTAGGCGTTATTGTTGGCGTCTGGGCGTTGCCGCTGGGGTTCACCGCGGGCCAGTATGATTAACAATTGCAAGCGGCGCGTTGGCAGGCATTCGCCTTCCTGGAGACATCTGTCTGGTTTTGCAGTGACCTTCTTTCGCGCTGCTTATGATTCTTTGCCTCCAGTTTGCGGTTGTATGTTTGTAGCCCTTGGCTGAGCTCCATCAGACGGCTATAATTCCGCTGCCCTCGCTCGATGCACGACCGTCCCCGCCGCAATGCTCGTGAATTTTCCGGTGGGCTGATCATTTGTGGTTTTGTCTGCAGTTGGACTGCTGGCGGAACGCGGGCGCCGCTTATGCAGCATTCCATTGTTCGTTTTCCTCTGAGGGCATCCGCAGTGAATTTTGCGCGCGTTTGTTTTTTGTTGAGCAGATCAGTTCAATAAGATCTGTCGTTGTTCGGCACGAGACCACTAACATGAAATTTGAAAAGGGAAAAATATCCACGCGCCCCTTCATAGCCCTTGGCGAAGCCAACATTTCAACCCGCCCGCGCAATCGCAACCGCAACCGCAACTGGGCGACACATTTCAAACCGCCCGCCATCGCAACCGCAACCGCAACTGGGCGACGCATTTGAAACCGCGCGCGCAACCGCATCCGCAAACGTAACCGGGCGACTCATTTCAACCCGCCCACGCAACCACAACCGCAACCATGCGGGCGCAACTGTGGCCGCCCCGCCT